CAGTGACACCATTATAGAAGGCCACTAGGTTTAGAATTTGCCCTTGGTGAAGCCACACTGATTCTCCCATATCATCTCCCTGCCTTCCATGTGCCTTAGCATAGCTTCCATGAGGATCTTCTCCACGATCTTTCCTGGCACAGGTTGGTAATGTTGCCTATATTCCAGTCACCAGGGTCTTCACCTGATTGCCATGACTTTTCAAATATAGGGAATGGCTTGGCAAATACATAAGCCAATTCCCTGAGGACCCTGGGATGCATCTCATTGTGAACCATAGATTTGTGGATGTTCAGGTTCCTCTGGCGCTCACGAACCTGATCTTTGCTTACAGTGGGAGGAATGTTGCTTCTTGAATCCTCTCCTACCAAATCAAATATTTAAGGGCTGTGTGACAAGCAATTATCAGAGAAGACCAAGGCAAAAGAAGTTAAGTACTTCACCCTTCTCCTTGTCTGTTGCTACCAGCCTGCCTGTTTCACTCACTGGGAGGAGTATGCCCTCTTGGACTTCCTTTTCTGGTTGAGATATCTGTAAAAGCCTTTCTTCTTGTTCTTGGTATCCCTTGCCAAGTGTAGTTCAAGCTGGGCCTCAGCTTTCCTGACCCAATCCCTACATAGCCTACCAACTTCCTTATACTCTTCCCGCAGTACCTGTCCCTGTTTCCACTGCTTGTGCATTTTCTTCTTGCTTGAATCCATTTTGAATTTAGAGGAGTTCTAGTAATGAGAGCTCCAGACCAAGATTAGAAGTTCTTGGTTGAACACCATGGCTAAGAGATCCTCAGACCTTGAGTATTTCGTGACCATTTAAGGAGAAGCATTGTCCATGAGACCGGTGGCCTTGTCTCTTAAGCATGTAACTTAGCTAAGTGAGCTCAGTAATACCTTCTCCTTCCATGTCTGCTGGACAAATGGAGTCTAGGTGGTGTGCTTGGAGGCCCGCAGGGCCCCAGGCTGCAGTGCTGCTCCCAGGCTATGGTCAGGGCTGTGCCCGTGCTGCAGGCACCTGCTTCCAGCTTTGCAGGGTGACGGGCTGGGTAAGGACCTGGGGCTGGCAGCCACATATCTCTGTACAGGTTTGCTGGGACAGTAGTGGGGAGTGACACTTATTTTGCTTGTCACTGTGGGAAACCCTTTCTCCTTTCTCCATCTATTCAGGCAGCAAAATGAAATTCCTCCACAAAAAGTAAAGAGCGGAGCACATCCTCATTCCACAGAAGAGAATGGCTTTACCATTTAACATCAACAAATCAGATGTATCCACCATTCCCATTTGACCTGCTCCCAGGGGCCCGCAGCCTTGGGCAAGCTGACCGTGGCCAGGACGCGCTCACACAGACGTGCAGTGCCACAGGACGATGCGACAGCAGTGGGGCTGCTGGGACAGATCTCTGGATATCGACAGTACTATGCACTGGACCAAGCACTCTGAACTCTGCATTAGCACGTTGTAGACAGCCCAGCAGATCGGATCCCTTAGCTAATCAGTTCTTTGTTTTGCTGTATTTTTCTATTTATATTGGGGTTAGAACAAATATTAACCGATGCCTCTCGCCCTGCCTCCTCCCCGCCTGGTGCTGCAGGACGGCGGTGGGACTGCCACAGGACTGAGCTGGCAGAGCTTGAGCACCGAGGATGGGAGGAATGAGTTGTGTGGACCTGTCTCTGCAGTGCCAACATGCTGAGAACTGCAGAGATTATATGGACTGATGAGGAGGAGCTTCTGAGGGTGAGAGGGAACCACTAAACCTACTGAGGATGTGATCAGCCTGCCAGCTGCCAGGCTGGCTGCATCAGGTCCTGGCACGAGGAGAGTCTTTTCCTTATGCAGCATAATTAAAAGTGAGTGGTTTAAAAGGTGTGCAGCCCCTGGGGTGTCTTTGTGCTGTGTCTGCCACCTGCCTTTATGGACTGGAGGAGACATCTAGTGGCTGAGCCCTTGGCTTGGCCATGCCTGCATGCTCTGGAGCCCGATGACCTTGTACCCTCACCCAGGCTGTATGCATAGAGAGCCTGAGGATGAGCTCAGCTGCGGGGTCTGGCTGTGGAGACTCCCGTCAGGCCGAGCAGGTTCTCCTCTGTTGACATCTCAGTGGCATTAGAAAGCATTCTAACACTGGGTAAGCTGCTGAGACAAAATGAGGATGTCAGCTCCCCTAAGGAGCCACCTGCTGCTGCTCACCTATCTTCACTGAGGCTCTCCACAGGCCTGGGGTTGGCTGAAGCTGAGAGGAAAGAAATCCCTCAATGGTCTTCAATGCAGGACTGAATGGAGATCTCCTCCTCTGCTTTAGGAGTGTCAGGGACAGGCTGTGTGCTGGAATGCCTCACTGCAGGCAGCCCAGTTCTGCATTGTGCCATGCGCGACTGCTGGAGGGTTTGGAAGTGCCTCTTCCCCACATCTGAGGGCCATGGTGACCAATGATAGGGTCAGCAGAGCCTAATTCCACTCACAAAAGAGTGGAGGGGATTTGAAGGGATCAGAAGGCTTCAGAAGCCAAAGCTTCCTACATCAGCAGCCCCTTTCTTTGCTGGGTATAGGACCCAGCAAACAGTGGAAATGGATTGTGGTGGTGGTGGTGGTGGCAGAAATGGGCAGGTAGGCAGGGTGGTGGAGGGGTGAGTGCCTTGTTGGCAACAGTAAGGTATGTGGGGCTCAAACCCAGCATACAGTATCCAGGAGTGTCTAACAGCATGAAAAGCACAGAGAAAGAACCTTTTACAGCTGTTTAATGAAGGACTGAACATGAAACTCAAGCAGGAGATGGTCTCAGCAGCAGGACAGCCCCTACAGCTTCACACTGAGCTGCGTTGCTCTGGGATGGCGTGCCCCTGGATGCTCTGCATGAACCCCCCTGCGAAGACAAAGCCCAGAGAGCAGCCATGCTAGCTGAAGCCTTGCGGCCGCACACAAACCACACAACACCACAGGTACTCACCTCTCTGCCGGGAGACAGCCTTCAGTCCACAGGTGCCGGGTGGCCTGCAGGTGTAAAGCCCCAGGCAGCCTCCGCAGTCCGAAGGCTTCTGGCAGGGCCGGCTCTGGATGCCGCGACAGGAGTGCTGCAGGGCAGGCAGCAAGCTCAGCCTAACGCCAACAGCCCGGGGGGGGCAGCTCATCGCCCCGCTGCAGGCTTTCCATCACTTTACTGATTTAAAGGAGAACAACACCTAGCAGCATCCCCTTATGACCCAGGGCTGAGCCCTGGGGACATCCTGCTCTGCTGGAGAGGTGCTGTGAGGCCTGCCTGTGCCCTGGGCGATGGGCAGGCATGCCCTGTGCTTACCGTGTCGCTGTTGAACTTCCCGTAGCCCTTCAGATGATGGCTCAGCCCCAGGCTCCTGCTGCGGAAGGGCTGCGGTGGGCTCCTGCGGGGCCTGCCGGGGGGGTCCCGTGCACTGCTGCCTGTGGCCTTGCAGGGAGCCCCAGAGGTAGGGTGGTGCTCTGCCAGAGCCTCCCACACTGCGACCTGGGGGTGGCTGCCGTACGCCTGGTTGTCCCCTCCATCTCCAGCTGGCCGATGATTCTCTGTGGGTCCCCCAGCTCCGAGGTGTCTTGCTGGGAGAGCTGCCCACTCCCCCAGCGCCTCTATGTGTGCTGGGGCCAGGGAGAGCTGTGCCAGCAGCAGGGCAGCAGCTGTCAGCACCCAGACCTCCATCCTCAGGACCTGGATTGGCTCGGGGATGCCCTGCTCAATGAGGCTTGGGAACAGGAGCTGAAGCTGAGGCTGCCTCTCTTCCCCAGCACTGGTTGGATGTCACTTTTATAGCACCGGCGCACAGCTCTTTTCCCCCGCCCCTGCCATGTCCCACCTCCCCTCCTGTGAGCTAACCAGGCTGCTTGTGGGGGCCTGTCCCCATCCCTGCACTCCCAAACAGCCCAGCACCCTCCCACCAGGCCACCCAGATTCTCTCAGTGATGGGTACTATGTGTGGTGTAAGCACAGCATTTCAGCTGGGGCCTTGATAAAGGGGGGGCTGCTGGTCAGTGTGTGAATCCCTTTCTTCTCCATAAAGGCATCTGCTGTATTTTTATCTTTGATACCCTGAGAAGATATTACTGATGTGACAGAGCTTTGCCATTGCACTGTCACAGACCTCAGACACTCCCAGCTCTTTGCCCATCCCTAGCCAAATTTGATGGAAAGGTGTCAGACTCCAAGCTGATGAGTTGTTACAAGCCTTCCGGAACGAGCAGCTGGCAGAGGAGAAAAACCCAATGAACCCCTCATCCATTGTCTTTTAAAGCCCTTTCTTGGGCATTTGTAATTGCCCACTAGGTGTTCCCTGTGGACCAAGGGTGAGTTCTTGTGACCACTGTCCTCATCTCTGGATGGGAATGGCTCAGCCTCAGGCAAGTTGGCTCTGCCAGCTGCCTGTCAGAAGGCAGTGGCCAGACTTCCTACCAAACTGACCTAAGTAGAGCTGTCCTTAGTAATAAAGATGCTGGAGGTGTTAAAAGCAGAGGGATTGCTGTGCAGTCCTATCCTGGAAAGGGTCACTTCTCTGTTCCTGGCTTTGCCACAAACTCACTGTGAACGTGGCTGAGTCATTTGAGCTACACAGCTTGTGTGGCCATCTGTAAACAGGGGTTGTGCTTCCCCTCCTCCCTGGAAATGACCAAGAAAATGCAACACTTGCTGGCTAGCTTGGGAAGGCCTATCAGGTTGTCATACAGCATTACGTCCCTGTCAGCTGCACTGGTTGTGGTCCATGAGACCTCCTGGAGAGAAACAGGAGTGAGAAGCTGCTGGACCCGCCTGAAGACATGGTCCTGGAGATATGGGAGTCAGTGACAGAGGAGCTACCATGGCAATGAACGATGATGTGAGGGACTGTAACTTCAGGGAAATAGGAGATCTGAGCATCAGAAACCAGTCTTCCTTTACAAAAAAGTTCCCTGGATTGGGGCCTCCTTCCCTGATGGTTTACACCAAACCAAAACAGGTGAGTGTTCCCCATAGGAATGTGAGATAAACTATTAGCAGGCAGCAGACAGAAGACCAAAGCAGTGGTTGTAACTCATGAGAGAGAGGAAGTAACAATAGAAAAACGTGAATGTGAACAGTGCAATACAAGTTGATGCCAGATGCACTCCATTGAGACTTCACCTCCTAAAAAGCAGTGTGTACCAGTAGCTCAAGTCCTCCAGTCAGCTTTTGAGCTTGAAACAGAAAACACGGCCTAATTCCTGGAGACAGTACTGCTGGGTGCATGAGGAGGTGATGGATGAGAAAGTGATGTCAATCTAGTCCAGCTTCCATACCTTTGCCTCTGGCCAGGGCTTGCTCTGGACTTGTTCCTGGCTGATGGTGGACGTGCTGATTTCTGGGGAAATGGGCTCATAGGAACAGAGAGACAGGCGTGCAGCCAGCAGGCCCATCCGGACACAGGTGTCTGTGTCGAGGTTGGCAAGCATCCCTGCAGCAATTCCTGCCATTAAACTGTGGAGAGAAAGAACAGCAATTGTGAGCCCTGGGAACAGCTTTGGCCTCAGGAACATGGCTGGCTGGAATACAACCCATCTGAGGGACGTGGTTAGAGGGCATGGTGGGGGTGGGTTGATGGTTGGACTCAATTATTTTTGTGGTCTTTTCCAACATTAATGATTCTGTGAATCCAGATCACTGCTTACAGAAGCAGAGTAGGAATGAGGTGAAAAGAAGTTTGTGGGGGGTTATTATATTTATTTTAAAATTTGGAGGAACAAATAGTGCCATTGATTTGCATTTTATTTGCCTCTCATCTGAGAAGTTGATGTCACACCCCGTTCTACCCCATTTTCTTTTCCTCCCAGTTCTCCAAGACAGACTGGAGAAAGGGCATCTACAAAGGGAAGAACCTATTTTTCCCTTCCTCTTCAATTATTTTGTCACTTCTCTGCTCCTTGGTGAAACCTAATTACAATCCCTCCTTACCCCCATTGGGAAGGTGTAGATGGGCAGAGAGGTAGATTTCCCTATGTAATGTGAGAGGGGATGGGAAAAAAAAATCCAAAGCTGAAATGAGATTTTGGATTCAGATTTCTGCCAGCTTCTTCTGTGGCTGTCCATTTGAGATTAGCCAGTAAGAATGCTGCGAGTGCTTGAACAACAGGTACTTGAACCCACAGGCAGCAAGGAGGCATCAGAAGTGATGCTATCACCTGCCTGTCTTGCAGAAGACAGCTCTGCTGAGGCATGGGGACATGCAGGGTGCTGCTGGTGGGAACAGCCAGCATTTGTCTGTAGCCAAACTCGGAGTGATGCTAGGAAACTGGGGAAGGACAAAGAAGGGAAGGTGAAGGGAAAAGATAATGACATTTGAGACTAGAGGAAGCAAGGGCAAGAAAACATGGCAGCGGGGAGGATTAATGAGCTAATCTGTGTGAAAGGGAAAATGACTGCTTTTCTGCACTCTCGCTAATTACCTCAGTATCATTCTTTTTTCTTTTCTTTTTTCTTCTCCTTAACAAAGGCACAAAAGATTGTGGTTTCCAAAACCATTCCATCTCTCAACAGCTCCAGGGACTGAGAATAAACATTTGGGGGTGCATCCCCTAGCGATGCCGTGTGCGGGCAGGCAGTGTTATGTTGCCAGGGCAGCTGGGTGCAGGAAGCAAACAGCCGCAGGGCAGCACCTCCAAGGACAGGAGAGCCTTGGGAGAGGAGCAGGGCTGGGGCCTCCTGGATCAGCATCCCTGACACAGTGCTTTGGAAGGACTAGGGCTCTCAAGGCTGAGCTGTGAGTCTAGCCCTGGATTGTAGCCTGCTGCATGGTCCCTTGGAGGAGGCAGCAGGCCAGGCTGTTTCATCTGCTTGTATGCCAAAGAGAGAGCACTTCTGGCCCATTCTGGTACTGTTCAATGCAACAGGAGCTCAGAGAAGCTGCCGAGGGATGCCAGAAGGACACTCCAGGACAAACAAGAGCGCTTTGAAAACTCCTGCATGAACCTGGAGACTCTGAGGAATGGGATTTCAGGAGAAGAAATCAATATGGGATTCATTTCCCAATAGTCAGAGACTCCGTGAACTTCCACCACTGCTGTGTTTGGCTCTACAGCATTGCACAACATGGCATCCTCCTTCATAGTGCTGTGCTGAGTGCATCCAACTCACCTTAGAGGCAGTTTAGGATATGAGAAGTAAAGAAGGATTCTGGTGTTAAGTGGATGAATTAGCTTGGCAAGAAGATACTGATTGATCCTGGCTAAAGTATTGAGTTATTACAAAAATGACTTTTTATTCTGCTCACCTAAATAAGAAAAAAAGGAGAGATACTGCTATGTTGAGTTACTGGTAGGTAAGAGAAGAAAACTGAAAGGAAATATCTGTCAGATGTGGCCTTTTGGTCTAGCATAAGGCAATGAAAGGAGAGAATCAATTATTGCAGCACACGAAGCAAAATAACTAACTAAATAATAATTAAAAAATCCCCAGATTTTTTAATTAAATTAAATCTGACTGCTATATAGAGTTTGACAAGTTAACAAGGAGCATAATGAAATACTTCCCTGGCAGACGGAGAATGGATCACTGAGGCTAGGAATAGTATGTGTCATTTCCTATCCCTATGTGCAGCAGTGTGAAAACAGGCAGGCGAGTTGCACAGCAGACTTCTGAAGCACAAGCTATTGCCAGAGGCAAGTGCAGAGCCTGATGGAGTGCTTTCATAGGGCAACTCTTGAACATCAGTCCTACTTCCACTGGAGGTAAATTAGTTAGCTGGTAAGGGTGCTTTGATGTGCAGTGGTTTACTCAGCTTTCAGCAGCTCAGCCCAGAGTAATCCAGAAAATACTAGATGGCCATGGAGGGCTTGGATCTTAAACAAAAGTAAAGCTAATAAGAACAAAGTGGGCTTCAAGATGCTCAGTGAGACATTTCTAGTGAGCATTGCAAGGAATCACAGTAACCGGTCCTGTTCTTGTGCCTGCTCCTCAAGCAACAGAACACAGTTTATCTTTGTAGCAGAATTTAAAAGAAATCATGTTAGGATGGTTCCACATGTAGCTGGGGAATACAGAGAAGTTAGCAATGTACCTGTCACCAGCTCCTGAGACGTTGACTATCTCCTCCCTGCTGACAGGGATGGCGGGGTAGTGGGTGGCACAGAGGCTGGCAGCAGCAGTCTGTACGGGAAGAGAGGGAGGACAGTGAGCACTGCTCAAGCTGATGTGGCCTGTTGGGGCTGGTGTCATCCAAGCATGCATAGATGCCAAAGAAGGGAAACAAAAATAAGCCAATAAGCCAATAATCTTAATAATCTTTTTTTTTCACACTTCAAAGGAGATCAGTGATTTAAGTTCCTGAAAATGAAGCTTGCAGTCATGAATATTCAGGGAAAGCACATGTAAAATGAGCTGGCTATAAGCACTGCTGCCAGGAGCCAGGACAGACAACTCAGTTTTCTTCACTAATCGTCAGAGCTGTGCATTCCACCCACAAACACGAACATTTGCCAGCACTGATGCCACGTTTCCCAGCATCACCGCTTCACCACCAGAAATAGTAATCATGCTCTGCAGTCCCAGACAGAAGCTGCTGAGAGCTCTGAGTTAGTTTTCCCTTACCTGGTCGTGAGGTGCTGGACGAAGAGAGATACTCCCTCCCAGGCTCCTGCCGCACAGGAGGACGCCATGAGAACCGAGGGTCACGATCACACAGCACAGGTGGGACAGCAAAGGGCAGGCCAAGGCTGCTGCCATCTTGACAATGTCCTCCAGCCTGGATGGTGCCTCTTTAGACAGAGAAGAGGAAAAGCTAGGGTGTAACTTTGAAGGATCTCAGTGGGTCTCTCTGTGGGCTGGCAGACTGTAAATAGGAGCAGCCTACACGGTGCTCCTATTTATGAGCACTACTGAAAATGTGATATTTTTTCCTTTTATTCATGGGAAAACATGATTTTCCAGTGTTAGATTTCCATACTGTCAATCGTATGCTTCCCTGGAACTACACATGTCTATAGAGATCAAAAACACCATCCTGAAGCATGACTTCCATGTTTTAATGCTTTTGGGATCCCGCTTGCATACAGTATGGTATTTCATTTCCCCAAAGAATGGTAGTGTGAGGGCAGGTGCCCTCAGAACATCTTGTGTCACTGAGATATTTATAAACTAGAGATTGCTCTTATTTCGGTGACAAAGTGAGGAAAACAGACCTCTTGGTTTGCACAAGGAGCCACGCTAGGCCTGCTGTGCTCTTTGATTGATCATTGGTCTGGCCTGGGCCAAGCAACCCACACAGAGATGGCTGAAGGGCGGAAGATGCCAAGACTGCTCATGAATTCCTGCTGTGTTATAACCCAGTGTGATTGAAATGGGAGACAGGAGGAAAATGCTCTTTCCTGATCTAGGTTATGTGAAATAAGCAAAGTCAGCACAACTGACTCTTGTGAGTGTTCAGTACCTGCTGGCAGAGGGTTCCCAAGAGTCCGGTTTATTGCTTTTAGCTCTTGTAGGTTGGGGCAAATGTACGTGAGTGCTTTCCAGCTGTCTGAGAGGAATGGCTTAGAGGCCTTGTTCTCATCTGTCGGCTCGTAGCACACTTTAAAGGAAGATTGCAATTGGTTAATTAACTGATGAACCAGAGGTTTTTTCCTGTATCTGAGCAGGATGCAGCGCAGAAGGCTTAATGTGATCTGTACAGCTGGGGCTGTTTTGCAGAGTATCAGAAACCTAAAGATGATTTCCCCCACACTGGTGTCCATAGTTCCCCAGTTTTCCTCTTTGCTGCTCAGCAATGACAAAGTTGTTTCTGGCTCTGGAATGATATAATCAGTCTTTGGGCCTGTTACTCCCTTTATCTGCTTTGTCAACCTCTGCCACATATTAAGAACATCATCTTCTTCAGGATTTGCTCTTAAAAATGAAGGTGAAACTGCAGAGGTTTGGGAAGCCTTGTAAAGTGTCTTCAGCATGCCAGGGAGGAGCTCTGGATTTTATGGAAGGTGGAAGAGAAGCCCCCCCAAATGATGCTTCAGCACTTGTTCTGAAAAGAAAACTCCATCACTGCTCAGAGTGGCAGAAGCACGTACATCTGTGCTTGCCTTGGGATTAAAGGCAAAGAGAACAGCTTTTTTTGTCCTTCTGGCAGTGCTGAAGGGCTCTAGCTCCTATGTTACAGCAGATGTGACTTAGCTGCGGAATGAGATAAACTCAGAGAAAGCAGAAGTGTTTCATCCATTTAAAATGGAATAGCAGTGTATGGAAAGGAGCAGTGGGTAACACAGCATGTCAGGCTGGATAATTCCACCAACGAATGGAGAGTGCTCAGATCATGTGGAGCACCCTGGTGCACACACACATAGGAGCCATGGGGCCAGGGCTGGGTGGGCTCTCCTTACCTGCTAGCTGATGATCTCTAGCGAGTTGGCAGATGTATTGGATAGTGGAAAGAGGCACATTTCCATCAATGCAAACCAGTGGGGCCCGGCACAGGTTCTCCTTGAACTGGGACACCTAGTCAAAATCCAAGACACAGAGCAGAGACAGGCTGAGTCATTGCAGAGAGATAAAATGATTCCTGGTCATACTCAGGATGCAGGGTTTTCACAGCTCTTAAACACAGGAATGAACATAAAAAAGCGATTCCTTAAGGAAGCTGGATGTTTCCATTTATCTCATCTCTTCCCCTTCTTGTTCTCTGCTCCCCATCATTGACAGGCAGAGCCCCTTCTGAACAGCCCCAGAGCTAACAGCCGCAGTGAGATGAGGGCTTTTGGCCTGTAGCTCCCTATTTAGGTGGAGGAAGACAAGTCATCCTCTTGTGAAGGCACACAGATTGGCTCTTTGTTTTTTTATCATGTTAAATTTCCCTTGGTCTGCTCGTGCCTTGTCCAGTTGTATATCTAGTGGCTACAGAACTTCTGTAGACAGCAGGTTGACGATGGAGTGAGGAGCTGTAGCTCATTCTCTTGCCTCTCTGAGGCTTCACGACCACAGCCTAAACACCAGGCCTGCACTACAGGCATTCTTGCACACCTCCCTCCTGTGTTTCTGCTAATCCTGGCTGAAAGAAGGGCTGCCAAAATGCACTTTGCAGCAGAAGATTGGATCACAATTTCCATTGGCCACAACTGGTTTGTAAAACTCAGGAGAACTAATCTGTCATGTAATGGTTTTCTGTGCCAGAGCTTGGGAGAGGCAGGGTGGGGATGGAAGTGGGAGCAGTGACCATATTTTTCCCTCACTAAGAGCCCACCAATAAGTAAATTGCACTTAACTTTCATGTCACTGCTAGTCATGAAGTGCAGGATTTGTTCTGTTGACAGCAGAACGACTAAGGAGGAGGGTGCAGTGATGGGGGTTTCACCAAACCAATCTGCAATTAGCCCTGATGTTTCCAAGGGTTGGACGTGCTGAGGAGCAGCACCTGTTTGTACAACTCAGCATGGAGAAACAACAGGGATGGTGGGGCGGGAGCGGAACAGGAAAACTTACTTTAGGCAGTGTTCTGTCTACTTTTGGTTTTTTTTCTTAAAAGGGGGAAATATAATTTCTGCAGTTGGGCTGGATTTACTGCTGACCTTAAAAAGCCAAAAATGATAGGTTAATTGAAATTCATCAGTGCAGGGGATTCTGGCCTACATCTCATGGGATGATAGCAATGGTGACTTCTTATGAAACAGAAATATGAAGACATTCCATCCGGGTAAGCAGTAACAGGTACCTCTGGTAGCTTGCCACGCTGCAATCTCAGTGGCCAATACCTGGGGTTAACTTCAGGAATGCCCATGTTCCCTCTGCACACCCACTCCCTCCTGGTACTACTTTGCTAGCTGGTTTTTGTCACACCTCCACACTGCTTCTCATAAGCAGAAGGTTGCAAATCAGCTGGCATGCATACGTATTGCTCTGTGATCTGCTGGTGGATGTCCATATCTCCCAAGCCGATGCTCAGCTCCCCAGCACTGGTTATCATAGCACTGTAAGTAGCTGTGCTCTTCCCCTCTAGCTGCAGGATGGCACTCATGTCCTAAAACAGTAAGAACAATTATAAAAGGAGTGTGTTCCTCCTCTCTGTTACACTTGGCTCAACATCAGTATACTTTCTCTGCACCCACCCAATTTGTAGCAGTAGCCCAGCTTGCTGTTCCCCCTTTATCCTCCCTTCTCCCTTCAGATAAGCAACATTCCAGAGATATCTTGGTCTAGGCAGTGCAGGCAGATGGCTAACTATTAATAGTGTAATGCAACAGGAGCCACAGCAAAGACTTAAGAAATTGTTTAGTAAATGAGCATGACAGGCCTCTGCCATGCAGTTCAATGCATCGTGTCGCTCTGCTGTGATGGCAGAGCATCCTGCAGAGCACTGCTTGCCCCAGCTATCCATTCCTACAACTTCTGTGACACATCTGATGGCATACTGAGCAAATCTTGGTGCATGGTTCAGCTAGTGCTTACAGTAGCCATCTCACTGATTGCACAGCAGGGAAGCTGACTTTGATGGTAGCCTTAGAACCATTTTTACAGCAGTCAAAGGTATAGCTGTGAGGTGTCCTTCCCCTCTGTGGGCCTTCTGAACGATCTGCTACGAGAACCCATGGCATTGCTTGGAATATACATTCCAGGATGGAGAAGTGCTTCTCCCCACTTAGTTCACAGGGAATATTGAGGCTTTAAGGGCAAGGTCGTCACCAACACTGCTGGTAAGGCTTCTTGCAGACCAGGATTTCTTGGCAAATAGTCCTACTCCACCTTCTCTTGAGAGGCTGTTCACTGAGATAGCTCAAACTGTACTGTGCTCAGATGAGGAAGGATTACAAATCTGCAGCTATAAAGCCTCTGCATACCAAAAGAGAGTTCTTGTTCTTATTACTGTTTTCATTGAGCTGCTCAAATTACCAGTACTAAGGTCTCAGGTGGTCTTTATGTCTGTATAGCAGGGCCCTGAAGGCACCAATAGGCCTTAATGGCTCTGACCAGCCTCAGCTGGGGTCTCCGCCCATAGCCCTGGCTTGCCCTCAGCTCTGCCATTTTCCCAGAGGAGTGCCTGATGCTCTGGATTGGGGTTGCTTCTGGCTTCCTGGTGTCAGAGGACAAGCTGCTGCTGAAGTCAGGTATTTCTCTGGTGTACAGTTGTGTGTGTATACGGCTGTAAGATTCTGTTTCCCCAAACATGTGAGGTACCTAGCCTTGGCTTCTGGTTCTAGGCTTTCTCTGTCTTACAGCCCAAATCAGGCTGGTTTTGGTATTGCTTTGTTTATCCCAAGGATCGGGCTTTGCATATTTCTAGTTGTGCTTAGGCCTGCCTACTTTTTTTTTCAGTTCCTCCTTATTTACTTCTCTTTTTCCTTCAAACACCGCTCCTTGGAGCTGAATTAAGACCATGTGGTTCAGACTTAAAGCTCTGTGTACATCTCATCTGCGTTCTGGGGGTAGCACCTTGGCTTTTAATGATCTGTATCTAAGCAGCATTGAATTATTCTCCTTCTTAGTGATGAGATGCAATGGAAGGTGGCTTTTATGTTTGCCAGGGTTACAAATACTTTTTCCTTTATGTAATGTCATCACCTCCATGCTTCTGAAGAGCCATTACTGTGAAACGTACCATGTGCTGACAGTAGTGCAGGATGGACTCTGAATGTTCATCCTTCCCCACAGCTGACAGAAGGAGAGGGGTCAGGCCAAGACGGCTTAAGCAGTCTAAAAGCAAATGAAAAGAAGTTCACAGGTCTGTCAGAGGAAACTTATGCACTTCCCTGGCAACATTTCCTGTACCCATCACAAGAATTCAGGCCTGCCGATATCACTTCTGTGTGTGGCCTTGCCGTGTGCCTGTCCTGCAATGCTGTCTTATTAATGGGTTCATGAGAAGCCCTTCCTTTTCTCCCTTCAAGTTGCCACAATTCATTCCTCAGTGAATAGGTTGCAATTTTTTCCTCAAGCTTTCCCCATCTGTGATCTGAAGCGAAAGCAGATTTGTGTTAGGGAGACTTGGGAAAGATCAAAAAGCCAGAGTAATCCTAAGGTCTTCACGTTATGTCCCCCTGCTAATTTCAGCACTCAAACACTGGTCTGCTCCTGCCTGTGCTACAGCACCAGGCATGCTATGGTTCTATGCTGTTGCCAATGACTGTAGCCTGTTCTCTCCTACAGTAACTTCCGTGCTCCAATTCCTCTCGTCTTTGGTACTCAGTCAATCACCTTTGAATAGGTATATTCATTTCAAATCCTTCCTTGAGACGTACTCCTATTGCAACCACAACATGGCGTTAATTCAACACTGAGGACTGGGTTGTTCAGCAGTCATTGCAGAGCAATAGTGCTTATTTAACCTCAATTTGGGGCCACTGTGCTACAGACTAGTTAACTTCATATTTGAGGTTCTTTATTTTCCAGACCTCTGCTCGGCTCCTTTCCTTCTCAGTTTTTGGATCATCCTTTGCCTTTTCCAGGCAGTCTCTCCCCTGATGTATTGCCTAATGTGTCCCAGATCTGAACAGAGCTCAAGAGCTCCTGCTGTTGAAGGAGTACCAAAGGACAAATCACAGCTGGCAGGCACCCACAGGTGAACCCAAGCACTAGGCACCTGCCAAGTTTCTTCCAACGCCGCCAAAAGTTCGTCTTACTCTTCCAGCGTTTGTCTGCCCGCCACCCTGGAGGAATAAATTATTTATAAGCAAAGTTGGAAGAGCTACTTGGTATAGATGCCATGCCTCCATTAACACCTGAAGTGAAATTGATATTGCTGAAACATACAGCAGCGAATAGAGACCGTCTAGTTTTGCAAGCACTGCAAACTCCCACAGCCCATCTAAACACATCAGCTCTGGTGATAAAAGGCCCGTTGCCTAGAAGGCGAGATTGTTTTGGTCTCTCCATGTGTAACTATCTTGAATTTATTGACTACAACCTCTTTGAACAACACGGAAGGGCGTTTTGGTTGAAGAGCAACCTTCTGAATTTACTTGCTCACATCAGCACTGGGACTCTGGAGCTACTGACCCAGACCTGATGGGCTCTGGAACTGTTTTCCAGGCCACCTACCTCCCACCTGTAAGCAATTGTTTGTTTGTTTGCTTGGTTTTATTTTCTTTCACTTTGAAGATAAAACAGGTTTTATTGCCTTTGCAAGTGTTGCCTCTGCAGTTTTATTTATTTTGACTCATCATTTTCTTCCCACACATCTCTCTCCAAAAACCTTTCTCCACTTTTGTGGTTATCAGCTTCTCCTTTCTCTTCCCTCTGTCCATCTGTCACAAATGGTCAAACTGCCAGAGCACAGACAGTTCCTCATCCCTCCTCCCAGCTCTCCTGCCAGAAGAATTACCTCAGTAAATGTCCAAATCTCTCTGGGCTTCATCACTGACTATCAAATTGCTCTAAAGCTCTTGATTCACAAAATCCTGAAACATATTTTCCATTTCTGAAGACAGCTTGCCACTGGCATGCCTAATAATCTTCTGGATAATCCAGAGCTTTTCAAAAGTAGGTTGTGACATGAGAGAAGAAAGGATGAGATGTCTTGCAATATAGGATCTGAGAAGAAGAACAAGTTAAACAAACTTATCTTGCAGGTATATGGCAGGAGAGATGCACCTGTGTGTAAATCTTGTGTGCTGGACAGAACAGAGTGACAGACTTTAGAGGAGACAAAGATCTAGTTGGGCAAAACAACAAACTCTGAATCCAAGTTAGAAAGTATGTATAAACAAAGGTGGGGGGTACCTATTGGGGAGGATGAGCATGCAATAGGTGAACTGAGATGAATACAAACCCCAAGACAGTGGGGAAAGGGGGGAACGTCTCACTAGCATTGGGTACGGAGATAAAAGTTTCCCCTGATAATTAGAGAGACCCCATAGATGCATGCCCCAGTGGATTCTCCCTTTGTTCAAATAAAGAAAGCTAACAACTCCCCTGTCTCTTTTGGGGATAAAAATAATGAGGCAAACCTGTTGGAACAAAAAATTTCCCAACAAGTGTTTGGGTGGCAAGTACTGAAGCATGTGCATACCCACACAGTGCTGCTCCAGGTCCAGACTCTCTCTGCCCTGTGTCAGCCCAGGCGCACAAGAATATCTCTGCACATGCTCATTTTTCTTGCTTGTAAACGTTCTATCCTTCCTAGCCAAGCAGATGTATTGCCATCTCAGGGTACAAGATAGTCTTCCTCCCTCCCCTCTCACAGTTCTTGGACATTCTTTGAACTTGCATCAAAGCTCTTCAGTGACCTTTCTTCCCCTCTAGTGAGCCTTGAAATCATGGACAATACCTGTCCTTAGTACACAATACTGTCTTCATCAGTCCTGTAAGAGGCTGTTCTCCCTACTACGTGTGTTTTGGGTTTTTTTTGTTTGTTTGTTTTAACCACCAGGCTCCTTTTGTTTCCCTTGGCTTTCCCCAGTTGTGCAGTCTGTAAGACACCATGTTCATTCTCCATCTCTTTGCTTTTCTGCCTAGCAGTTCTCCAAGCCCTGAACTGTTTGGACAACCTGAGTAGAATGCCATGTAAGCAACCTATCGCCTCTGTCCACCTTTCCACTACTTGTCACTCCTCATTAACCCAAATGCCTCTCTGTTACATTTGCTTACGCTCCCCTTGAATTGCCACTGGCACTGCCAGGACTAAGGCTGTTTCCATCTGTGACTGTCTCCTACTGAGCGTTGCAGATTTCCAAAGCGCTGAGCCTGTCTATTTTAGCTCTGCAACTTACTGTGCGTAATAGAAGAAGCCAAGTGAAAATACATATATATATTCCAAATCAAAAAGCAAGGATGCTTGTTTAGGCAAGTCAAACAATATAGCTTTGAACACGGTCCTCTATTTCAACATTAAAAGAGGATACTAGCTGTCGCTGGTAATGAGCACAAACCCTACTTAATGCAGCTCCATCATCTATTTTTCAAAGCTGATGCCATCAGGAACGTTGAAAATACACGAGCTCCTTTCTTTGCCTGCTGCTCTTCTCTTTCAGTTTGCCCCCGCATCCCAATGGCACAGCTTCATGTTTTTTAAGCCCAGCTTCACCCTAACAGCGGATGTACCAGCCTGCCATGCAGGCATCCAGCCGTGGGTGCTCCCTGCTGTTGTACAACCCCACAAGATCTAAAAGAAACGAAGCTGCTAAATTACTTTAGAGTGGGAGCGATGAGAGATGAAGCAGCTTGCTTGTAAAGGCAAAGAGATGACTGACTGTGATCACACCTTGCCAGCTCAGCTGTACTGAGCTCAATCTGTAGCAGCACTTGAGTATCTATTCTCTGTTGCATTCAGGGGAAAGAAAGATGAAAATGGGCTTGCTGAAGTGGTTTGAAAGATAACTGAGCTGATGCTTTCTGGCAAGGCTTCAAGGAATTGAAAGAGTTTCTAGGACCTCTTTCTGCATCCTAAGAAGCTTGAATTCCTAATGTAAAGATAAGACTCTGCTCTTCCTGAAGTTGAGGATGCCCCATCCCTGCAGGCGTCGAAGGCCAGGCTGGATGGGGCCCTGGGCAGCCTGATGCAGTGGGTAGGAACTAGATGATCTCTGAGGTCCCTTCCAGGCCAAGCCATTCTATGATTCTTTTGGATATTCTAAAACCATTATAGCCACAGTTACTTGTCCAGCAACCTTCCCAAAACTAGACAATGTGCATCTTTCTCTGCTGGTTACTTACATGCAAATAGTTAATTATAAAAGGCACTTCACTTCTGGGTAGCCTTGAAAGCCACATACAAGGTAAAATCAGTACAGAATACTGCTGTTTTCCTGCTAAATGAGACATCATGTGTTGCAAGCCTCTTCAACAAACAGCATGCATAAGGGTGGGACCTGCTGGGTGCTAAGCAATTTGGAAAAATCCTTAAAAGCCAAAGCAGAGCAATAGCATTGAGCCTGCTTTCTCTTCTGTGCCTAACCATAGAGGCTGTCAGTTCCCAAATCCTCCTGCAGTGCAGCTTGAAATTTGATTAGCTGCTGTGATGGGCCTTCAGCTCCAGGGCTCGCTACTATACAACATTAAAAACCTTCCTTTTCCCTTACCAGCTGCTCCCAATGGGGTTTGTAACTGCCCTCAGCCCCTCACCACATCACGCATGCCTCAGGGGTCTGCGCTCACTGCTGCTATCCCAACAGGTGGTTTGCCTACCTTTGATTGCACCTTGCCTTAATAGCTTAGTGCAGGGTATGTGTGTTCTCAGTTTGATCACAGCTGCAGCTGCTGGACTTCTGGTTTTGAAAGCCTGCACAGCTGACGCTACAGCACGTGTCACCTTTAACCATTATGATGGTTTCATCTTTGCTTCCTTATCATTTAATTTCCAGCTTCCTTAGCAGTAGCTTCACCAGCTGGTCGTCTTCTGTCTGACTGAGAGGTCTTCACAGGTGGCCCCATTTGAAGGCAGGAGTTTGTTACAGGTTTATTGCTTCAGCAATCAGCATAGAGATTTGAGAAACTAAACAACTTACAAGCAAGCTCTACCACTTCAATCTCAATAAAATAAAATGAATTGTATAGGTCATATAATGACTGCTGTTTGCAATGGGAAAGTCTGCAAGTCTTAGCTTCTTGGTCAAACCACACTGAAACACACAAGGTCTCACAATGCTTAAAATGCTTATTTTTTAAAAGCAATCTTTTTTTTTTTTCTTTTTATGTCTTAAATTTCTTATGGTTGAGGAAGATGGCTCTCATTTAGCTCTGACTGCTACTTTTCTCAAAGGCTTCTTACTACTCTGGGTACTTTGCACGTAGTCTGGCTCCTATTCAAGCTGTTAAGACAGCCTGAAGCAGCCAGAACTGGCTCTTATCTGGGGATTTCCTCAGTATAGTTTCTAATCTTGAATTACGTATAGGTTAGCACAGTGAGGGTTTTCATCCACTGCTTCTAGCTCTTTGCATATGTATTTTGTGAGTGACTTGGGCAGCACTTCTACTAAAACAGTTCTTTGGGTTTTTGGCATCAAAGAATTGCATTGAGGTACCAGTTGAGGCCAGTGATATGTGGAGGTTGTAAGGATGATATGTTGCTCTGCTCCTTGAGAGGCAATGACTCAGCACATGAACACAGCAGATCGACACGTGTGTGTCCACCTAGACAACACAACCAAATGCACAGCACGACGCTTCCCGTGTGTGTGCTTGTGTGTTCATACAGACACAAAGATAACATGCACTGACATCATCTTCCCCCCACCACCCTTCTTTGGCTTGGCAATTCTGTAGAACTAGCTGGAAATGGCAGCAGTGATAAGCAAGCTACTAAAAATACTATACCAGGATGACAGAGTTCTGCGCCTTGGCTATAAAGTCAACGTTGATACCTCCAATCACCACCTTTAAAAGGAAGAAAGAGGTAGAAAGTAGTTGGAAGGACTTAAGGGAAAAGTTCCAATTTTCACTGGCTTTTTTTTGCACCGTCTTGAAAAGCCTTCTGATTTACAGAGTGAAGGCCTGTGCTTTTTTTGGCTGGCTAGACACAGGTCTGTGCACTTCCATTCTGAAAGAATGGAAATCTCTCCTCCGCACTTCTGAATTATAATTGCTGATATGCAGTCCCAGCATGGCAGGCAGGACGTTATGGAGTACATACAGAGGAGCAGGCGGTTTTATTGATTGTTCACAGAGTATAACAATTTTTGACATACTAACCCTCAGAAAGATTCAGGCAGTGCTGTTTAACAGGAGTGAGAGGAAGGATGGACAGGGAGGAAATGGATAAAAATGGGTAGAAAAACGCAGTCATGTCTTGCAAGCTCCCAGAAGAAATTACCTAACCAGTGCAACTTCATGGATCACTGTCTTACTGTCCCACAAAGCCAGAAAAAGCAGCACAGCTCCACAAACAGAAAGTTCCCAGATTCTTTGGGGACATAGGTTACTGCCTCTGGAGTCACTGCACTCTTTTATGTTGACAAATCCTACTGCAAATGGATTTTAGAAACTTTTTTCAGCTCTCTAAAGTCTACCTAAAATAGATTTGCTGTAAATCATGTAGCACACATGAAATCTAAGATCGTGAATGGAGTATTAGAGTTATAATGGATCATATTTGGGATAAGCGGCACATCTTGTAATTCTGGCAGTCATGAGAAGGAGGCCAAAGAAAGAAGATATTTATAAAATGTGTGTGACTCAGCAGCTCAAAATATCCTCTGCCAACACCCTCTTCCAAGTCTACTCCTGCAGTCACATAAATTCCCTGGCACTGAGAGAAACAGAGTTGAAGTTGTACATAAGGTCACAATAAAAGGTGAAAAAGTGATGAAATTTTTAGTGGATACAATGGTCTAAGATTTAATGAGATTAGGCATTGCCACAGTTCATCCTCTGTACACAGAATGGGAGAGAATATTTAGCTGCGAATAATAAAGAAAATTAAAGAGAGAATGTCTGCCAGCATAAAGGAGAACGACTGGTCTCTGGCTGAGTCACCTTATGCTTTTGGAAATAGATAAAAAACTATCTTCAGTGCTGTCAGCAAACAGGTGTTATGTGGAGGACAGCAGGGGACTCACTGGCTGAGGCACGGTTGTGTCCCCTCTGCGAGGCAAGCTCCCCTTCCTTGTGGCTTTCTGTAGTTTGCTCAGAGCCACTGCAATGCAGCTGCCCACTCTGGCATTGTTTTGGATCAGAGCAAGGTCTGTATGGCATTTTTTGAGGAAAAGAGAAAATATCAGCATGACTGGCCCAATAGAATCCTACGTAGGAAACGGCCTAGAGGGAGAAAGCAGGAAATGCATGCTGTGAGACTTGGTAGATTTGATTCCCAGAAGCCAAAATCCAGTGGAACAGGTATGCTGGATTACAGTACTGTATGAGCATGCTGAAGTTTTAAGTATTCACCTTCCTCTGTGTCCATGGAGAGTAAAGCTAACATCTCCATTTTACAGACAGAAAATAGAAGAAAAGGCCTCACAGAAAATGAGGTGAAGTGCCTAACCTGGAGCTAAGAGCGTAACAACCTTTGAGGATCTTGGCCACCCTTCCAGTATTGGATGCCTACTGAGATTTTTGCCAAGTCTCTCCATGTCTGATTTTCATTAATTCATTAATTCCAGAGTATCAGAGGCTTTGAAAGCCCCATTTTGTGGCAGCATACAACTCCAGTATCCTCAAACCAGTCTGCCAGCCATGAGGTCTCCCAAGGAACTGGTAGCAGAGCTTGGGGTTGAATCTATCTTTTCCAGACCCTACACCAGTATCCTAGCCAGTAGATCTGCCTTCGTCTTGCCTGTGCAAGAGCATTCATGCTATACAGGAGTGTTTCTTCCAAGTTTCTCAGTGCTCTGGGAAGCCCAGACATCTTCCAGTGTACGATTCCTCTGAGGGCAAGACTGAACTGAGATTCCATCAAAGAGCAGGCAAGCTCAGGGATCACATGTGAAGGATCTCTTTGACTATCTGCTGTCTGTGTTGGCATCTAATTTTTAATGCAAAAGTGGAGGAGGACAGTAAGGGTGCTACTGAAAAATCAGGATGCAGCTACTTGAGCTTTCATCTATTTGTAGGTAACAAAGTGTTTGCCCCTTGCTGAACTGTCAATAAAATGTCAGCATTTTCCAGCAAACATCATTGGAGGAGATAGGAAGTATACTACTCCTTTATTCATTCCATTTAGTAAAAGGATACTGGAGTCCAGTGACTTCCCGTTGGTTAATTCATTGATCCTCTGTAACAAAAAAGGGGTCAGTTCTTTGCCTGAAATCCCTTTGGACCTGCAAATGTAAAGAAAATTACTGAGACAAACTGAGCTGAAATGGCATCAGAGTAGAAGCACTGCTGCAAGCAGATTAATTTATCTGCATAACCACATAGCATAAAAACTCCTGTAAACAAGCTTCAGGTTAGATAAAACCATGCTGAAAGCCTTGTTATGGGCTCATCCACACCCAAGATTAAGCTGCACTACAACCCCTCTAGCAGCGTCCCTGAAGTCACTTATTTCCTCAAAACTATGGAGCGAACAGAGGTTAGGGCCTAGGTTACTTCTCACCTGGCTTCGCTGAGAGCTTGCTGGATGGCATCTTCAATAAGCTGGCTCGAGGCAGCTTGCTTCTGGGGACAGGGCACTGCTATCAGCACACCGCTGCTCAGGCCTAGACCCAGAGCGCTGGCTGGGAGAGGACGGGCAGATGGTTAGAGGAGGCCAGCAGGGACAGGGAGGTGATTGTCCCCCTCTACTCTGCTCTTGTGAGGCCCCAGCTGGAGCACTGCATCCAGGTCTGGAGCCCCCAGTACAAGAAAGACAGAGAGCTGTTGGAGAGGGTCCAGAGGAGAGCCACAAAGATGATCAGAGGGCTGGAGCACCTCCCCTATGAAGACAGGCTGAGGGAGCTGGGCTTGTTCAGCCTGGAGGAAAGAAGGCTGCAGGGTGACCTCATTGCAGCCTTTCAGTACCTAAAGGGAGCCTACAAACAGGAGGGGAATCAATTCTTTGAAAGGGTAGATAACAGCAAGACAAGGGGAAATGGTTGTAAGTTGAGGGAGGGAGGATTTAGGTTGGATGTCAGGGGGAAGTTCTTTACTGTGAGAGTGGTGAGGTGCTGGAACAGGCTGCCCAGAGAGGTTGTGGATGCCCCGTCCCCAGAGGTGTTCAAGGCCAGGTTGGATGGGGCCCTGGGCAGCCTGGTCTAGTATTGAAAGGGGAGGTTGGTGGCCCTGCATGTGGCAGGGGGATTGGAGATTCATGATCCTTGAGATCCCTTCCAACCCTGGCCATTCTGTGATTCTGTGATAGAGGTTCTCTTTGGACAAACAATGTAAAACGATGGAGAGTGGGTGGGGAGTATGTGAATCCACAGCTGGAGCTCCTGTTCTTAGCTCACCCAAGGACAGGTTCTTGTCTAGTTAGCAAGCAGTTTATGTCCCCCTATTTCTTTGGAGGCTTTTTGTACAATAAGAGGCAAAGACTTTTTTTTTAAAAAATAAACCAACCAAATATCAAAAAATGACTCCACTTTTTGACCCTCTGTTCCAGGGCTTACACGAGCCTTTCCCTGCTGAAACACACCGATAAGTTTAGCTGCCTCCTCTTCGTCCTGGACATGATACGGTGCCTGGAAGCCACTCTGGCTTGAGAAGAAGGCTGGGAACATCCTTGACTCTCCAAAGGCAGCCACACAGACCCCCTGAGTTTCCTGTAGTAATGGAGGTGAGGTAATCAGTGGAGGGAAATGGGACTCAGAGAGAGATAAGACTTTTCCCTTCTAACCAGCTAGAAACCGTCTTTCTTTAGAATCACAGAATTAGCACAGGGTTTGATTATTTTTGCACGTTTAATACATCCCATTCTATTCTGTTCTGTCACCAACATTTTTCAAAGCAAAGAGCCAGACATGGTAACTAGTCAGACAGAATCTGGCATATTGAAACATGTGAGACACACGCGTCCTTTGCACAGAGCTGATCAAAAGCAGGGCAGCTGTCACTAGCACAATGCTGAGTCCAAGGTAACAAGCTGTGACCTGAAGTTATGCCATGAGCTGACAGGAATTTAAATGAGTTCTGTTTGTGATTGGAAAGTATTGACTCTGGCTGTCACCTGAAGTACTGCCTCTGGTGGTTTCCAATATCACAAACCTTAAAAACGGACTCTACTAAAAATCATATTGTTTCTTAATTTAATTATAGCTTTGTTTTAGTGTCTGATAGATATAGCTTGCCTGATCCATCAGTGTGGGAGCATTCTCCCAGTAGACAGAAAAGTGAGTGACTCTAAACCCAGAGAAGAGGCCGTGGCTTGGGCTGCCTTTGGCTCAGTTGGAGCACTTGTGCAACAGCCTGTCGGGCACAGACAGGATGATGCTGGGGGCAGTCCAGTGCCTGAATAGCCTCAGGACTAGAGAACTGAAAAGACAGTCCTCACATCCTCTAAATAGTTATTCATCAGAATCTTAGGCTTAATAACTGCCCCAGCATCACTGGGCCCACTTAGCACTGCTGGACACAGTATACCAAGTACATAATCACCTGCTTTCATGCTCAGCAGCCCATGATACCTACCAGATACTCCAATGTCCTGCCAATATCAAGGATAGACTTGACTCCTGCAGATACAACGGCAACTGGAGTCCGTCCTAGCTCTGTCAAGTCAGCACTCACATCCAGAGCTGTCAAGGGACAAGCAGCTGTTGTTTGTGATTGTGCTAATGTGATCTGCCCTGTTAAAAAGCCACATCTGCCTCTTTTTGTAAACATTCTGATCCACACACAAATATTACAATTTTAAAGCATACTTTAAGGTGCTAAGGTTGTAAGAAGGACTGAAAACAAAGAAGTCACTTGATTAAGGGCAGAGGTGCAGCCTTGCACTGACTGTCTCAGTTGTTAGTTCACGTCACTAAACAGCATGCAAAAATTGAGTTGGAAAAAAGAAAGGACAAAGTTCAAGAAAATGGAATATAAGAAGACTTTGATATCAATATTGACACAACTGGCAGAGAAACACCACATAAGCTTTGCTGACCTCTGGAAACCTCCAGTGTAGAATTTACACCAGAAAGAGATAGCACTCAGCAGAGCGGTGTGTTTACACTGTACTATGAGTATATATAGCTAAAAGAAAAGTATGTACTTAAAGATCACAAGCTGCACTGCCAAAGCTGTGCCATATCCCAGGTTTCCAGAGAGCAACATGGACTAGGGCATAAACCTCATGTGTGGTGAGACCCACCTCCTCCTCAGCTCACAGATGAATGTAGTATGTATTAATTTTCTTACTGTTCTCTCCTCCTCGATGGACACCTCCAATGCCTCCTGTCACAAACACAGGGATTCCTGCTTTGTGTGCTGCAATCATTGTTCCAGATACAGTAGTTCCACCAGACAAACCCTATATGGGAAAGGAGGTCACAGGCAGCCCCCACAGTGACTCAGAGAATGCCACATGCAGGCGGCTGTGGTTGTGTTCTGACAAACAGCAGTGTCACAACAGCCTGTTGGCACAGCTAAGTGAAATTCTGACACAAACATTCTTTGCAAAAAGGCAGAGGTTTCATCATCCCTTCTATATAAGCTGTTGTTGGTCTGATAATAGCAAAAGCCTTCATTCTCCAGGGCTTTTCAACCAGCAGGGTTCTTGGACAGTTAACAAGATCATTAGTACTATATGAATACGTTGGGGTGACTTGCTGTCACATAGTTCATGTGTAACATGATGATGCCCTATCATGCCAAAATGAATATTCTTTGCTTAACCAGCCAATCCTGAGTGAATTTTCAGGAGCCCTATTTCAGGTCTGCTATTCCCTGACTCAGATATATTTTGACTCCGGATACATGTGGTATCTCAGTAAGGGGCTCAAAGCTACCTGGCTTAAAGCTGGAGACCACCCTGTTGCTGTGTTGAAAACACCCCAGTAGAAAGTCTGCATATCATACCTTGCTGAGGACATAAGGAAGATCTCTCCGAGACACTTTAACTACATTTTTACTGCTTGCCAAGAACTGAAGTTCCTCATCTGTGAGTCCCACGTGGATTTGACCCTTTAAAATACCTATAGTGGCTGGCACTGCTCCGTTTCTCATTACAATTTTTTCTACCTCTCTGGCCATGCTAGAAGAAGGTAGATGAGACAACAATCACAAAATTAGTGAGACAATCAGACAAGAAACCTGCCGAGATTCATGGCTGGCATTCCCAGTTTCCAGTTTTGCTCAGTTAGGATTTCAGCTAAGTCCAGTTCTGCTTCTGTATCTTCCTAATGGCAAAACCTTACACCTGATTTTGCAGCAGTGCAGAACTATTCAGAGCTCCTGTTTTAAGGATAGCAATGGACAGGCTTTATGCTTCATTTCTGAGGCAGGAGCTGTAAAATAGCCTGGCTTACAGGCAAACCTATTTGTACAATACACTGCTAAAAATTAGGGATCTTCTCAAATTAGAACCTTTCTGTATCTAATCCTTGTTATTTGTGAGATCATAAATCTTCACAGAAACCCCTGATAATTCAATTCTACTCAAATGACCAGGATATATTTTTACAGTATAGGCAATTAGGTACTGGGTACCAACAGTGTTGAAAAGCTGCAAGCTGAGGATATTCTAAGGTTAAAAACTAGGCCTTTCTAAGCTTTGCAGGCTATATACTTGATCATTTGTGGGATATTCTATCTTTTGATTGCAGGTATATTTACATATGTTAGGCAACCTTCAACCACTAAAACTGTGCATAGGGCACAGAAGGCACTGAGAGGGACCATGAGTTCTCACAGCAGCTGCTCTGAGTGGTGCCAATGAGCAGATTTCAATGTTGTGTTCCAATCCTTTTTGTATCACAAAAGGTATACCAAAAGAAACCACATGGGAGTTTTCAGTGTCAGTCATTGTGCAGCCATTAATTGTGGTATCTCTGTCTTAGAGCAAATGGTGACATTATCTGCTGCCACATTTCAAAAGAAGCCAGGTGTTGGGTAAGGAGATAAATAGGTATGAATATGTGTGTCCTATGATTCTGCTCTACTTAGAAAGTCCAAATAGGACTTTTTTTATACCACTATCTCTAATAACCTGACATTTCCCCTCACTTTGTTCTCACAACTTCCTTGAGCAAGGAACATAAACCTACAACCTCAGATTCTGAGGATAGGACATGCCATGTGTAATGATGGTGCTCTCCAAGGCTACGACTGGCCTCCCCTCCACCAGGGCTTCCTGTATGGAGGGCCGAATCCTGAAATAAGCACCTGGAGATAAACATAAAGAAGTCAATTATTTACAGGGGTATTTGCAGTTACTACTGAGCTATTTTATAAAAAAGCAATTTCTCATAGTCACAGTAAATTCATTCCTCTCTTCAGCTCTTCTTTTGAGGGGTTTGCAAGTAACTTCATGAAGACTAAAACTGTGTTTTATGTAATTGAACTATTTACAAAAAAAAAAAAAGAAGAAATTACCATAATGAGTACAAATAATGCTCCTCTTATGATCTGAATGTTATTCTCCCACCGTTATTACAGCTGCATTGCTACTGGCTCCAATAACGTTACTTTAATATTACTTTAAATTAATGTTTCTGTGAATGAACTGAGCACTGCAATCATGCCTGAATAATGCTATATTTTAAAAGAGTGCAAGCACCAAGAGTAAATATATAGTAAGACTATTGTGCATCAAAACGTCACCTATTTTTTAGCGTTATTATGAAACAATGGAAATTCCCTGTGCTTTTAGGACCTGAAGTACCTTCCTGAAAGCTGAAAAAGCAGCTCTTTGCTTTGCTCCCAAAACACTTCCAGCAAGGTCCCTGCTGTGTTCAGATGAGGAAGATGCTTTCCACCCAGGGACTGCTCTGGAATACACTACTCACCATGCAGAAATCTTCTCACCTGCGTGGTCCTATGCGTCTCAGTGGACACATGTCTTGCCAGCCTGTAAGTTATCTTCGCAATCATCTTGTACAGCAGGATGGTCCTAAGATTACAAAAGTCGGGTAAAAATGGAAGTATTAATTTAGCAATAATGTGACCATGAGAAGCTAAATCTGCCATCCCTTACCCTGATCTTGGAAAGTGAACAATCCTGGGCTTGACCAGAAGACTGCCTGGAAAATTATCGTGTTTCAAGCATGAGCTGGGCCTTGAGCCAAATCAAAATGTTAAACTGAAGAAATGGAGTTGAAAGAGTTTACCTAGCCCATTGTTGATGCTGAAATCAAGGTAGAGCTGAGGAAAGGATGAGGAGTAACAAAGTAGAAAGACTTCTGAAGTTCCTATTTTGATTTCCAAAGATACTTGTTCATGACAAATTTCAGGCTCAGCTGCTGTCACCCCCAACCCAAAAGAGCACAAGGAGAAAACTGCAGGGATGCTACAGAGAAATGTAACTATATTTTGCTGGTGTCTCAGAGGAAACTAGCAGATCTCTAAAATAAAGAAAGATGCTGAGGACTGGGAAGCCAGATTGTAACTGTAAGGAGGGAAGAGCAGCTCATCCTAGAGCCAACAGTGCTTTATGTATGCTCATGTTACATCATCTTTTTTAGCATAAAGTGTTGGAAGCAGAGGCACAATTCAGCCCCAGCAAGAACTCCAGAACTCCTCTCGTCTCTTAGCAACTCCTATTCACTTTAATTAAATTCATTTCAGGACAGAGAAAGAGGAGGAGAGAGTTGCAAATGTTAAGAGGCTGGTCTGATCTGGGCCCCAGGGCAGTCTCGCTCAACTCCAGGCTGCTACACGTATTTTTGCTGGGCAGTTGGCCATCTCTCTCAAGCCTTCCTATTCCTCACCCCTTAACTGTGAGGAAAGGATTTATTTCTTCAGCCCTTTGTACCTATTGCTAATTTAGATAGGAAATTAATTGGAGTACAGTACTCTGTGTTATATTTAACAGAACATGGCTCTGATCTCTGCACAATGTGTGGCATCACAGCCATTAGAAGCATAGTACACCCAGGAAATGTGTTTTGATTTTTTATTTTATTTTATTTTTCCCAGAATCTAAAGGCTTCAGCTATACAGAGCAGTTTGGGTGGTGCAACAGGGAGAGACGGGCTGATTTTGTGGGACATCTCCCAAACCATCAGGCCATACATCATCATGACACACAATACACACCCAACCAAAACCAGAAGATCTTTTTTTTCTACATTCAAAATCCATTTTTAAGACAAAAATCCAAACAGCCTTTATGAAATCCTATTGTTGCACAGACATGGCACAAGCTTTGCTTCATGCTTACAGCCCCTGCTTGTGCAGCGCTCAGCTCCCAGCCAGCAGCCTGAGAAGTTCATGTAAATGCTTTGCTCTCGCTGAGGATGTGTACACACCCCTCGGCTCTCTGGGCAAAGTCAGCTTTGGAATCTATTCATTGAGCCACAAAGGTTACGCCGAGGATCAGTTGGGCTGCTCTAGCAGTGCTCTGAATTTTAACAAACCCCCGGACTCTGTAGCGCAGCAGCCAGGAGAGCCCAAGCCTTGCTGGGCTGTGGATACAAACCAGTTGTCCCCACCTGCAACCTGAGAGTAATTAGCTGGTTTCGGCTGGAATGGAGGCCAGCCAGCTGCAAGTTTTGAAGCTTGGCAAGCTTAGCAGTGAGACCTGTCTGACCTTAGGCCCCATAACAAACCTGTGCAAACTGCTAGCACAGGTTTTGCATAGCTCTCACGCAGAGTGGCCTTCCTCCCTCCTGCAGACCGATGCTACTCACCTCCCCTCACCATCGCCCCACGCATCTGCCTTGGTGCATTACTGCCTGGTGCGCCTCTTACCTCCGGGCGCTGTCGTCACGTGTCCAAGGCTGGGTGGGCTCTGGAGCTGTGCCGGGGCAGCCCTGGCAGAAGGCGTGACAGAAGGGCCGGAGCTGTGGGGCTGACAGCCATTTATTATTAACCACAGATGAGCTCAGCACTGTGGCCACTTTGCTGCCTGGGGCAAAGGGGCGATTTAGCTGCAGGGCAAGGATTGCTTCTGGGGTTATTTTTGTTCATGTGGTGCCACATTTTTCCCTCGCTCTATAATTCAGATTCTTTTGCTGCTATTTTTTTTTTTTAATCGATGAATTCAGGAATCATTAAAACAGTGTCTCTGTAGATTGGTTTCCTTTGTAGATATTCATAAAACGTAGACAAACTGCGGTCATGCTTCCCCTGCAGGTTTGCCAAACACAGCTCTCAGCCTCCCAGAGAAAAATCACAGAATCACAGAAAGGCCAGGGTTGGAAGGGATCTCAAGGATCACGAATCTCCAACCCCTTGCCACATGCAGGGCCACCAACCTCCCTTTTCAATACCAGACCAGGCTGCCCAGGGCCCCATCCAACCTGGCCTTGAACACCTCCAGGGACAGGGCATCCACAACCTCTCTGGGCAGCCTGTTCCAGCACCTCACCACTCTCTCTGTAAAGAACTTCTCCCTGACAACCAATCTAAATCTTCTCTCCCTCATTTCCCCTTGTCCTGCTGTTATCTACCCTTTCAAAGAGTCAATTCCCCTCCTGTTTGTCGGCTCCCTTTAGGTATTGAGGTCACCCTGCAGCCTCCACAACCAGTCTGGGCAGCCTGTTCCAGTGCCGTAGGTCTCATGCTGGCAGAACTGCTCATGATGCAGAGAAATACTGAGCACAGGATAGTCTCCTACTACAAGGACATCGTATTCTAACAGGTGTAGGGTGGTTTCAAACAAGAACTTTGAATCTAGAAAATTTTTGTTGCATCATAAAAAGCCACGACACTTTGAGATCTAATGCACTGACATTACGCATGTGTAGATTTTGTATTCTGCAAAAAATGTCATGTTTCAGAGCTAGATGGCTATCCCAAAAGGCACTGACTTACTGGATGGAAGGCATGATTCTATACAACTTCCACGCATAATATAAAACTATCAAAATCAATTACTAACATATTTATTTTATGCTAAAGTAAACAGTTTCTGATTTTACTGTAATCCACCAGTTTGTAAACTGTAAAACAGAAGATTTTAAAGCTGCATTTATATCTTATGCTCATCCCTTTCTAAAGAAGCCTTCTGTAACTTTTATTTAACTTGGTTATAAAGAATGACTTTATTTTTCTACATGAATAAACATATTCAGGGAGAGTTCGAAGTTTGCTAAGTTACGAAGAAAATCCACCCCTGACTTCTGCTACATGATCTGCAGGGAGTTTAACTGAAGGAATGGCACATCACATCCTCAGATAGAACCAATGCATGCTGAGGATTTTGTGATTGGTATGGTTTTCTTGTGAGGATGGGTGGCCAGAGGTACTGAAAACCAAATGTGGAGGCAAAATTACATTTATGAAAAATACATACAAATTCTCACAGCATCATTTTAATCTCAATTAGGTGGATTTAGAAATACTGCAGTAATGTAGGAACTTATCTAGCCTATTAGCTTTTTTGGCATGCTATCAGAGGAGGTGTTCTGGTAATCAAGCTGATCTCTGAGTCTTCATCTTTCTCTTAAGATCATCTTAACATGATCTTAAGCCACGGACACCCTTTTCAGTCTGTAGCATCATTAAGTCACAGCAACAGTGTGTTTGTTCATTTTTTCTCTTCAAACAAAATGGAAAATCAGCCCTTCAACTTGCTAGATGTCTAGCTCAGCTTTCCACTTGGAAACTGCAGATTTCAGAGAACAAATATGGCTGCTCAAGCGGTTCTTTGTTGGCAACCCAGGCCAGCAGTCAGGACCAAGGTGCGCAGATGATGGGGAGAAGGCCACAGAGAACTGCTGGGGACAGCTTTGGAAACCATAGGGCTGTGCACAACGTGCTCCTCTGTTTGCCATGGATTGCTGACTTTTTAGTACTGTCCGCCTGCAGCGACTCAAAGCTTCCTGCTTGTACTTCCTCCTGCTGGCCTCGGGAGCAAGGGTTAATATTAAACTGGTTGCTGGGTGACATGGGAGAGGCCAGGAATACAGATTGGCATGGCAAATTCCTGCTGTCTGCTGCGAACTGCACCCTCAGGCCCCAGCCACTCTCATGCCACCCTTGCATTTTCATATTTGCCTGAATTGTACCCCATCTGGCTTTTGGTGAGCACGTAGACTACAGACAAGAAAGTCTGAAAGAAAGAGAATTAGAATGCTATTTAAAATGAAGGTACAATTTTGTTTTCAACAGCTCAACAGTTTTCTTCCTGTTCTACAAACGGCACGCACTGCTTCCTCTAAAGGTTTTCAACTTTGTTTGTTTAAAAAGGGACACATAATGGAGGATGGGGAGGTGGGAACGCACACCACCACGTTCACCAAAGTAAGGTAAATAAATAGAATATGAAGTTAAGATTGGGTCAGGTTTTATAGATAGAATGCATACGGAGAAGTGAATTGTAATTTTTATTTCAGCCCTGAGAGAACTTATATTTTATTGTAACATACTGCTGAAATACACAGGGCAGCACCAGCAGGCTGAGGGTCTGTTGAGATAAAAACCTATGCATCGTGCAATGCAGCTGTCATTTTCTCTGCCAGCAGGAACAACAGAGGAGCAAATACACGAGGAAAGAAAAAGAAAAACAGAAATCTCCCAATCTCCTAGAGAGAAAGGAGATGCCCAGCAAAGCATTAATTCTGTTAGCAGACGGCTCAGCCCGCCATCACACCACCTCCTCCCCCTCCCCCACGGTGGGCGGGTGAGGACCGCACCGCGCGGCGGGAACGTTCTGGAGCGAGTGGGCGTTCCCTCGCCTGTTCCTCCAATCGGAGCCTTCGCCGGGCGGGGGGGGGACGGTCCTTCCCCTCGCCCTGCCCCGCCGCCGCCCGCCCGGAAGGATGTGCTCCCGGAAGTTCCGGTGCTGTCGCCGTGTGTGGGATAAACAGTAATGGCTGAGGCGGTGGCTCTGGGAACAACGGCGGACGCCGCGGCGGCGGCGGTCCTGGGGCCGAGCACCGCCGCGGGAGCCACGGGTACCATCTTCGGACCCGCGGCCGTGCCGCCCCTCGCCCTGGGGCCGGGCGGCGGCTGGACCAAACAGGTCACTTGCAGGTAGGCGCTGCCCGCGGCGGAGGGCGGGGGCGGCGGCCCTTCGTCCCCATCATCTCCTCGCGTTCTCCCCATCCCCCCCTCAACCCCCCATGCGGCCGTTCCTCGGGTCGCCGGGCCCCTCCCTCCTCGCTCACGTAGGCACCGCAGCGCCCCTAAGCCTCTGAAGGGGGGGGCCGGGGGCGAGGGGCGGCGCGGGATCGCGCGCTGGAGGGCCCGCGCTGCGAGGCCGGGGCGGGGAGGCCCCGCGGGCAGTGAGGTTGCCGCCGGGGCCCGTACTTCCGGCGCGGCCCTGCGCCGCCCTCTGGAGCCGGCTCCGCGCTGCGGCCCGCGCCCGCCTCGCCCTTGGGGACTGGGCCGTGCTGCCCTGGAGGCCTGCGGGGCTCCTGAGTCACGGCGGTCGCCACGAAAGGGGCTATGGGGGAAGCGCTGGGCCATCGAGTTCGAATCGGGCTTTAGATGTCTCAATAACGCGGGTGTCGCTGAGGCCTTTCTCGGGACGCGGCTCGCCGTGACCCGTCCCCGCAGTGCCGGGAGCGCCGCTGCCCGCCTTACATCATGGCTCAGAGCGCTGCGTCATTTTGCATCTGCATTTCCCTGCAGAATGCGTTTCCGATAAATCTCTTCGCGATGAGCGTGCAGATCTTGCCGCATGTTGCAGCGCTGCCAGAGGGACTATTTTTAAACTGGGACTGCAGGCTAAAAGGAGCATAAAGCAGTTCTTGCGGAGAGAGAATAGAGGAGTTCCTATGACACAAACGGATGATCGAAGCCGAGGTTCAAGAAGCATTTCCTTTTTTTTTTTTTTTTTTTTTTTTTTTTTTTCTTTTTTAAGTCTCTGTATTCCATTTAACATAACACGTTCCCGATCAAAATACTTTACAAATCCAAAATACTTTCCGTTTTCCTTCTAGGAAGGAGGCTCTAGATTTTAACGTGAGATTTTTTTGTGCGCCATTTCCCCTTGGTGCCAAGGGCGGCCCCGAGAGCCGGTGCTTGGCTCTCACAGCAGCTTGCTCGATGCATCCCTTTGTGCTGCTGCGGGGGCCCTGCGGTGTCTGAGGCATTCCTGCTAACCCTGAGTATTGTTTGCATTGCCTCAAGTTAAGCACGTTAACGGTGCTCATCTGGAAAACACCATTTCTCAATTCTGAGTACTCCTCTGCGTGCAAAGAGCTTTTAACGTGAATAGCCAGGTTAATGTTTGCTGCAAGGCCGTTAAGCACAGGGCGGAGATGAGGAAATGGCTGGGAATGGTGCTTAGCTCAGCTCTCCAGTGGGCTGCGAGGGCAGAGGTCGGTGCTCCTTCTGCGTGAGTTTGCTGTATGTTTCTGAAGACTAAAAAGCTAATTAAGGGAAGTATGTAGATGAGCTTTGTGTACTTGCTCAGGCACAGCGAATCGCTTGATTGCAAACAGTTACTGCAGAGCAGTCGAGCTGACCTGTGCCTGTACCGGCCAGTGAGTGTATCGAATAAATATTTATTTCAAAACGCTCAGGAAAACTTGATCATCGGAGAACACATTCGTGTGCAGTAATGTGAGCTTAAACAAAAATAAGATCTCAGCTTTCGACCTAATGAGCCTCTCCATTGTTCTTTTTGACTAATCCTCTTAGCTGCCCCGTGCTTGTTTGTTCCTTTCTTTGTTTGTTTGTTTTCAGTGGGCCCCTTCCAGTTGCAGGCAGCAAAGCTTTCCTCAGGCTTTGAAGTGAAATTAATGATTGGACCTGATCTTCTGGGGCTGCGTTATAAGAATTCGGTTTTTCTAAGCTAAGTTTCAGTGGGGTGGAGTTCCTGTTAGCTTGTTAAGAGAATGCACTCTTGAGCCTTGTTTTACCTTTGTAAATGAGCTGGAGGATTTAACTGTGAGATGAAGGGGTTAGTAACATTTCAGAATCGAGGTTTGGTTTTTTTTTTCACTTTATTGTCTGGAGCAGCTTGTGTTCTGAGTAATGCTGCAGAGTTACTTTCATCTGTAACTTTATCTGGATCATCGTATGGGTAATAGCAGACACTGCCTGAGAAACTTCAGATAAACAGGAGTATCTTCGATATGAATACTTGGCATTTCATGGTTGGTGAGGGCATAGAGCTGTTTTACCAAAATGGGAAGTTGTAGAATTAGAGGGTGTTCTTGCTGCTTGTTACGTCAGGGTGATGCCCTTGGCTGGGTGATTGGCGTCTTAGAGTGAGAGACACTGGGGCTGAGAGGAAGGGCTTTGATTTCTCCTAGGTTTGTGGTTTTGCAATTGCTGCCCTTCTGCTTTTTCTGCAGGTTTAGTTTAGAGCTTGGGGTGAAAACGAAATTCATCTTGTTCCTCAGTAGGTTGTGAGGACTTATTTCATATTCAGATCCTTTCATTACAGATAGATTTAAAATAAGAAAAAAGAATGGTAGTCCTTATCAAGTGTCTCTGTCCTTCCTGTTTTAGACAGACAGGAAACTTTAGTGAGTGGTGGTATAGCTGACACTTAAACCAAAGATAATGCTGTTAAGCTCCAGATAATTGAGTTTTCCAGTTCTCATGCAGCAGTACTTCAGCCCATCAAGTTGATGTAAACAGATTGCATTCAGTAACTGCACAGAAATAAAACCCTTTAGCAACTAGATGGTGTGGTTTGAGAGTTGTCTGGCGTGTGTAACTGCTTCTGTTTCTGAGAACCCAGATCAGGTATTGTGTTGTTTTTATATTAAACAGAGAAGAGAATCTGCAGCACACAGGTAGGCCTCCTTAATTTGGTGCAACAGTAGGGATGAGGTGTGGTGCACAAGCCTCTTTAAAACCTGCAGCACTGCCCCTTTTTAGCAGCTCTCTTCTAGACACCTCCCACTACCTTCTTGCTGAAGAAGGTTATGGAAAGGAAAGGACAAGCAGATAAATGCAATTAAGACCCGCTTTTGTCTTGCCTTTCCGTTTTTATAAGGTTGCTGACTCCTGTAGAACTTTGCCAGCTGCTCATAGCTGAATATATACGTGCTGTGCTAGAGCAGCGTGCCTGGCCTTTGCTCAGCCGCCTCCCTTGTTAAGACCTCTCAGCCTCTATCACTCCTGAAGCAGCCAGAGGGTGCAGCTGGCTGTTCCTCAGAGGTTCCCATCTGCCAGCGATGGCAGTGCTTCTTGTTCTTGTTGGAAATTCAGCTCTGTTGCTGGGTGTAACGTTCTCAATGAAACCAGTGGTTTAATAAACATATGCGGTTGACTGATAGCAGAGTTAAGTGGGTCTGAAGGAAAGGACAAGCCACACCTGAGAAAGCAAACTCCTTGCAACCTTCTAAAGCTGTGGGGAGAGATCTTGCATAGCGATTTCACTAATAGGATTACACATGGAAGACTCAAATGAAGGAGATGATCTGAAGGCAGCTAGTACACGCTGAGGTTATAGAATGTAGCTGTCTTGTTTAAAACTGTGTTGTAGTCTTAATGAAGTCATTACACTTGCTTTTGCTCTAGCTTATGGCAGGTAGTAGAAGTAATATCCTTCTGACAGTGGAAAACAAAATATTTAAAAGGTGCTATTTTAAGGCTTCTACATCCATGGCCCTGGGTGATGGCATTCTCTATGCATTTCCAAAAAAATACCCATGAGATTTTGGTTATGGATTAGATGCTTTTTGGATGTGCGGAGCCTGATTTCTCTGGCTTTTCTAAGCACCCCTTGAAAGGCAGGATTTGCTGTTTGGGTTAAAGGATACATAATGAAGTATAGCAGTGTTCTGCAGTGCTTAAATATCACTGTCTGCAGTTGGTACCTCCTGGATGGGTTGTGCCATGTGTTGGTACCACATAGCTTTGCATAGTCTTGCAGTGAGCTGAGTGGGGGCATGGTCTCAACTTCTGCAGTCTCACCACTTTGTATTCCTATATCTGAACAGGAAAGACAGTGCATTGCTGTGTGAAAGCACCCAGGGGGAATGCAGTTGTATACTTACCCTGCTCCAGTTAAACTTTTTCAGATCAGAGGATGTGTGTTTGACAGAAAGCAAAGTTTGGATGTCCTTCTGCATGTCACTGAGTGAGGCAGGTAGCCTGTTCAGTTTTCAGTTTTTAGAATCCTTTCATCCTGTATCCAGAAACAAGAGGCTGGTATTGCTAGGATGTAATGTTACAGTTATATTTGTGTAAAGATGTTCTTCCACATTTTTACATGCCAAGCCAAAAATAATGCACTCTGTGCTTTAACATACCCAGTTTTCAAGTATGGCCAAAGCACATTTTAGCCAGATTCAGCAATTTCACGTGGAAAATGTTAATTTCTTTGTGATGTTGAAGTCAAAACTTCCCTCCTTTGGGCAAGAGGTGGAGTTGGTGTAATCCTTAGAGATCTTTTCCCTCCCCTCACTTGAGTCATCTCATTGAATTGAGCTCAGCTTGCTGCATGGGAACGCAGTGCGAAAGTGATGAAAATTAAATGAAGCTCATGAGTGCTTCAGGTTTTTTTCCCTTCCCCTTTATAACATACTGTCTTGATGTAATGCACTGTGGCTAGTTTCAGAATTCTAGAAGATCTGTGCTTACAGAGGAATCTCTTGATGTAGGGTTGGAAAGGGCCTCGGGCTTCCATTTCCTCTGAGTAAGCAGCAGTGGGAGAGCCTCGTTCCAAGGCTTCAGTATTTAGAGTAAGTTATACTGGTCCTTCTCAGCCAAAGTGCTCACTGTAGCTGTTGCCTTCCCCTTAGTTGCTTATTTCAGCCCTATGGCTGGAGTAGCAGGGTGGTTGTGCATGGGTCTGAGCCGTGATCTGAACCGCGTTAAAAATAACCGCAGGGGTGGCAGAAGGAATGTCAGGTTACATCTGAGCAGCTCCTTGATCTAAGTCAGCAGGTGGCTGTGGATCTGCGTGCCCTGACACATGGGAGAAGCAGAGCTGTGCTGAAACAAGCAAAGGGTGGAGATGAATGTTCCTAGCTTGTTCTTTGGTAACTTAACAGCCTGAATTAATTTTGACTTGTTGGTGTAAATCTCATTCCTTAAAAGAATCTAGAAGTTCCAGTTAGGTTCTGCTTCCGTGGGTCTGTGAGTTGCTAAATTTTGGCTTTGAGGTGTGTTTGTGTATGGACAAGTGTGTGATGGTGTTTGTGTGCTTGTGTGGGAGAGAAGATGGAATGAATTATTCTTTGTGGTGAGGAATGCTGGAGAGTCCTGGGGTAGTACCTGGTTCCTGGAGTGTGTTGGCATGGTAGTTGGTGCAGCCACCTGGCAAACCTGACTAGAGTGCTGATGTCTCTGGGGAGAATAGCCTGCAGAGTGTCATCTGGTCTTTTTATTATTTATTTCTGTGTAGGATCACGTTTCTGATCAGGTTTGCTGTGTAGCCACAGTGTACAGACAGATGGTACCTTGAAAGCGAGAATTGCAGCCTGACAGTTAGTGTCAGCTGGTGGCTTATAAAACCACTTCAGTTCTCCTGCTCTTAGTAAGTATCTTGAGTACACCACTGGCTTTGCACGTCAGTCTTCTTCAGACTTGCTTCAAGTCATAGCACTTCCCTAGTATTGCACTACAAATGTAGCTTTGCTTATGTAATTTGGTGAATTGTTTGCTCTGATTTATGACCTCTTACCTTACAGCAGTCTTAAGTACTTGTCCAGATTTTGACACCCTTTGTTTAGGAGTATGACTTGAAATGCTGCTCTGTGAAGTGCCATCCTCTTAGTTGGTGCTGCAGAAGATGATCCAGCTGTCCTTCCTGCTGGCTGCACTGCAGGGTGGCTGTGCGGTCACCTCCTTGGAGGGCCTGGTTCTGCTGGCTGTGTGGGTGGCAGCATCCTTGCAGAGCAGTGTGGAGCAGGGAGGCAGAGCTACTCCTTTCAGCAGTGGGATGGTCTTAAAAGGGTATAATGGCCTTCTGAATCTTTGCTCAGGCTGTGCCTTGTAGGCTAGCTAAGAGTTCGTGTGAAACCTGAACCCTGGCAATTTTTCTTGTACGGTAAGTATTGATAAATTAATTCAGAGATTGTAATTTACCTCATATTTGAGGGCCAGAGCTTCTTTCTGTAAGCTTCTTGTTAAGGAGCTCTTAAGGGAGAGAATTTGGTACTACTTCTCTATTGGTTAAGTGTTCTTGAATATGTTCAGTTATGGCTCTCATACGAAGTCTGAGTAGTTGCAATGCTGTGCATTTAAAGAAGCTTACACTTTCTAGATTAACATTTATAAGAACGGGGGGAAAAAAACACTTTTGAGTGTTTTTTTACAGTTCATTGGAGCAGAAAAGGCTTTGTCCTTTTTCAGACTTCTTCATTTGTACGTTTATACTGGGACAGGGTCCTGTGAGCTGTTAGCTATGTCTTAAATTCAGCATACCTTGATTTATAAAACAACTTGTCTTCCGAATACTGTGTTTACAGCTTCAGTACTTCTTAATTCACAGTAATTCCCTGTATTACAGGTATTTCATGCATGGAGTCTGCAAGGAGGGAGACAACTGTCGCTACTCTCATGACCTGTCCACCAGTCAGTCTGCCATGGTGTGCAGGTATTATCAGCGTGGATGCTGTGCTTACGGAGATCTCTGCAGGTAAAGAAATGCTACTCACTGTGCTGTAGGAGTAAATTCACTTAGAGTTCCCGAGTAGAGAGCTCAGAGAAAGGCAAGAGAAAAAGAAGTCCTCCTTGCATTGGAACTTCATAATTCTACAGAAATTAGTTCACTAATGGCTTCCTCTTACTAAGAGTGGTAGTGTTTACTTTGTTTTGAAAACCAATAAGAGGTGATGTGAAGAGAACCAGTCTTCAGAAAAGCAATGGTTATCAAGGTGTGTTTTTGCTTGTGGTTTGTTTTGTTAATAGTATGAGTAGATGAAATGAAATCTGGGACTACATTCAGACTACCCGAATTGATGACTGAGAAACATTGGGTCAATTATGATAAAACAGGTATGATTTTTGTATTGCTTCTCTCTTCAGAAATTGCTGTTCTGACAATTAAGTGTCACCTTTGAAGAAGTAACTGGGCTATAGTCATATAGATTTTTAAAACACCTGTACAAATCAGCCCTGTGTTGAGAGGACATAAATTAACCTATACTGTTGAAAAAGAGAAGAAAAACTAAAAGAATGAACAAAGGAAAATAATGCTTTCCTAGGGTAGCAAAGCTTTATAAAGGCTTAGGGATCTTTTTCTGTCGCTGAAGTTCTCTGTATTACAACTTACCAGGGGCCTTAACACTGTATTGTTGTAGGTCCTATGTGTGATTAAATATTTGCATCATGACCTCATGTGGTAGCTATAGTTTGCTTTTCTTATGTGTTTAGTATTCAGTAACTATGTATAAGAAAGATAATGGAGGATTAGTCTCTAGCCTTCTGTATGTCTGCCAGTGGTCATGTACATCAGTGGTCTCCAAACTTTTGTTGCTTGTGGATGGAATAAAAAAGTGAATCTTTTTAGCACACACCCCCACTGAATGTATATTTGCTGATAAATTATACAGATGTACTACTTTACTATTGCATTACACACGTTCTAAAACAAGGATAAAATGAATCACAGAACTGCAGGGGTTGGAAGGAACCTAAAGATCAGTGAGTCCAACCCCCTGATGAAGCAGGTACTCTACAATAGGACGCACAGGTGGGTGTCCAGATGATCTTGTGGAGTCTCCTGTGAAGATATTCCACCTCTCTGGGCAGCCTGAGTGCTCTGATGCCCTGACGGAACAGAGTTTCTTCTGCATGTTAGTACAAAACTTCAAGTTTTAGGCCATTACTGCTTTCCTACTGCTACACACCACTGAGAAGAGCGTGGCCTCATCCATTTGCCTTCCACCTCCCTGTTGGTATTAATAACATTAATCAGATTGCCTCTCAGTCTTCTCTTCCCCAGGCTGAACAGACTAAGGTTACTCAGCCTATCTTCATACGGGAGATGCTCCAGGCCCTTTACCATCCTTGTGGCCCTCCACTGGAATCCTTCTGGGAGATCTCTGTGTTTTTAGAATGGGGGAGCCCAGAACTGGACACAGCACTCCAGATGTGGCCTCAGCAGGGAAGAGTGGAGGAGGAGGATCATCTCCCTCGATCGGCTGGCGTCATTGTTCTCAGTGCACCCAGGATACCATTGGCCTTCTTGGCCACAAGGGCAACAAAAGATTAGATTAAGATAAAGAATAAAATATTTTAAAAACACTGGTTTTATTTATTAACTGTACAGATGCTGCATTGCCTCCTACGGTACTGACCTAAAACCAGGCCAGGACCAAATGACTGCACGCAGACACCAATATGATGAACAGCAAAATGGCCTTTATTACATGTGAACTCTAGCTTATATAACCTATGTGCTTGGTCTATGCCCCTAAAGCATGTGCCACACATCAATCACAGAGCAGGGAGAGGGCCTGTAGTGTCACATCCCGTGGGGGGGGTCTCACAGTTGCCGACAACATACAGAAAACTTTTTTTACCCTCACTAAAAACATAGTTTTAGGAGAGTGCTGTGGTTCAGTGCACTTTGTTATCTTTCAAAGTTCTCAGTGTAGCACTTGGATATGGAAACTGGAAGGTCAGGTTCCTAGTTCAGTCTGTGGGTACTTGGGCTTAATGGCTGTTGATGTTTTTAACGAATCTAGGCTCTACTGAAACTCTTCTGTTAGAAGATTCTTAAATGTGTTATAAAACCGTTTCCAAATTTTTTTTGATGTACAGATGCAAGGATATTTACAGGTAACACGCATTGTGTTTGACAACAAAATCATCTCACAATGGTAGTGTTACCCAAAGCCACTTACAAAATGTGATCTCCATGGCACAAGCTTCTTTCAAAAAGCACTTGCTCTTACTCCAAAAACATCATTTCTGATTTGAAGGGACTAAGCGTGCTTATTTCTTGAAAATGTTTATTGGGTAGGGTAGCATACTAGTCACAGCTACCTCTAATCACAGAGTAGGTCAACAAATTTGCAGCACTTGCAGTATTGTGAAAGAAAAGTGTGCAACTCATCTTTTACAAGAATTGTTAAGCAATTTAACATGAAATAACCAGCAAACCACTGAGTGGTACTGAAGGTTTTCATCATCATTCTACTTCTTGTTACAAAATATTGAAAGATTTCACTATCAGAATGTTTTAGTTTTGAGTTAACCATACTGATGATGTGGTGGTAGCATTTTGTCCGCTTCTGGTTCCAGCTTTTTTGCTGCAGTATTTTATTTAATATGCAGTGAATGAATTTCACTTGTGCTATCCCTGTAATCTTAACTGGAAATAGTTCATTATAGTTAATGCAGCTGCTCCTTTGGTGGTTAAACTCACCCAGCTTTTCCTGTAAGACATCATTTTTAATAGTCACTTAGTGTTGAGAATACATCTTCTCTATTGTATCTCCTTAGTGGCTCACAGAAATGTAGTTTGTGTATTTCATTGTTGCAGCATAATCTAGGGAATGCCATAAGCTGAAGCATTATTAGTAACATACTTCCAGTTGCCTCTGTTATGAACCTTGAACACTACATAGTTTGTTCTAGTACTTGTTTCCGCAGTCTCCCAAAAGTATTTGCTGACAAAGACTACTTTTGTTTGTTGCTGTATTGCTTTCCAGGTGTTATTTCTGCCATCAGGAAGAACAAGTGTTCTAATTTGTGTGTAGCTTTTTTGTCTTTTGCTATTATCTAAGAAACATCGGAGATGCTTTTCAGCATTTATCACCAACCTTTGCAACTCAACCCAGATTTTCCATGATCTGAAACATCTCTAGGGGGAAAAAAGCAACAACTATAGAAGTTCATGTTGGGGATGCTTAGATCAAGTCCTGTCACTGTGCTAGTTTCATACTGCCATTGTGTAATATGTCAAGACATAACATACACTGAGGGCAAGGATCATTAACCATAGTGAATCTGTGTTTCAAATCCTCCTCTGAGTTATTTTGATTGCCTCCGTTTTCCCTCCCCTGCACTCCCCCCACAGTTCTTGTCAGCGCTCACTCTTCTACTCTCAGCTCTTCCTCAACCACATTACAAAGATGAAAACAACTACAACCTAATCAGATCTGACATCCTGTCGTTGTTTTTGTTCACATACTCAGGATTCTCTTAAATCCACAATTACTTTGCAGAAATGTTTTTTAACCTCTTGTTTGTTTTGTGAGAGTTTAACTTAAAACTGGATAACGTAATCTGCAGCTCTGTTTAGTGGGCAGATGTGAATTACAATATCAATGCACTGAAAGCAAACAAGCAAAGGCACTGCTGTAAATCCCTGCACATTGTGGCACACCTGCTCTTCCTTCAGGACACCTTGTGTGTACTGTGTGTGACAGAGGACCCTTTGGCATGCAAACTGAGTAAGAGCACCAACTTGCTCTATTTAATATTAAAAGCTTGAGTTCTTTCTTATAATTTTAGGTATAAAAAAGCCCTTCTGTTTTTGTCCTGAATTCTGGTGGATTATCTTGTATAATGCATGGGGTGCATGTGCCTTGCTTTGAAAACCACTGTTGAAGAAGACTGGAGGCTTGCCTTTTAATTTGTGGTTCATAGCTTCATTGAGATTTTAAAGCTGACATTTGGTCGAGTGTGTTTCTTTCATATGCAAGATCTATAATGCTTAATTGTTTTCAGCCTGACACAAGGCAAGTGAATCACAGTTGCTTAAAGGTTGTATATAATCTCCTTTCATCCTTGAAATTAGTTAGCAGATATCTAAGACTTTGTGGGGGGAAATGAATTATTTCTCTTTTAGTGTACTAGCTGCTGGAAGGCAGATCTCTGAGAGAAATGGCACTTATTGTTGTTTGTGGGTGGCAGGGATCAATGTGTTCTGAGCGTCGTTGTCCACAGTAAATTGAAGAAGGACTTAAAAGTAATTACTAAAGCCAACATAACATCTGATTGAGGCAAAGTGGGTCAGTTTAGGTCACAGTCTGGGACACTGTCCACTCAAGTTTTGAGTACTTGCAAGAACAGAAGTTATGTAGCCTCTCTGGGCATCTCCTTCAGCGTTTAACTAATTTCATGGTAAACTTAGAGTAATTTCCCACTTTGAGCTTGTTTGCTGGCCTTTAGCTATCACTGCATCTCTCAGAAGAGTGGCTCACTCTTTTTCTGTGCCTTCTCATTTAATAGTTGAAGACAGCAGTATCTGTCTTTAGTCTCTTCAAGGCTAAATTAACTCACTTCATTCACTACTACCGCACATATGTAGTAGGTATGTGAGTGAATTTGGATGTAAATGAAGTTCATTTTTTTTGTAATTTAAGTGAAAATTGCACACATCACTCCATTTCTTCCAAATGGAGTAGGGTTGGGTTCCTTAGGCAGTGCTGACATGTTGTACAAGTGGATGCGTTTCTCTTAAAGAGTCATCTAGCATTTTCTTCCAAGCCTTTTCTTCAATATAGCGTGTTAGCATCTAAATTGGTTTGCTTCCAATTTTTCAGGCAGTTCTGTGGAGGAGTTTTCTTGTGAGGAGTTGACATGTTTTTTTTTCATTTGTTAGATATGAACACACCAAGCCGCTGATGCAGGAAGAAGAAGAAGAAGAAGAAGAAGAGACTACTGTGAATCCAGCTGCAAAAATGTATCCCTCAGTATCCTCAGACCTCGCATTATTCCCTGAAATTGTTGAAGAAGATATTATTGAGATAGAAGATGAAAATATAGATCTGGCAGCTGCTGGAGTAGGTGCTGAAGACTGGGTGAATGCTGTAGAGTTTGTTCCTGGGCAGCCATACTGCGGACGTGGTAAGCTGATCATGGGATAATGGTAAATTTCTGTCATGGGTTCAACAGTTTCTGCATAGTGCATTTATTTTAATGCTTCTGATTTAGCTGAGTACAGCTGATCGTATTTATGAATCACTTCAACTGTTCTGTTCTTAAGTTCTACTTGATTTTTTTCTGCGTGAATAGTAGGATCATTTCAAACCCCTTCTTACTGCTGTAATGGTGTTCTAAAACCAGGTATATATGCAAAGTCTCTGAGTACTGTGAAAGATGTCTAGAGGAGGTGTTGATTCCTGTAGAATGACTTCTGACCAAGTATTTGCTTTCATGAGTCCCATAGCAATTCAGACCAGAAACTGAAGATCATTTACTCTAGTTACTTTTCTGAGACTTGATTTTATGGTACTGTGATGGCTCATAAGGAGAATGAAATTGGAAAAGCTTATTGTATGGGACCAGACAGTTTAAGTATGCCACACCTCTCATTTACTTTCCTTGCAGAAAGGTAGCACAAAGATATCAAAAAGAGGGTGCATGCATTTAGTCCAACTTCTAGTATCGGGCTCTCTAAAACTGAAGATGTATAGCCATGAATGATCTAATAATGATTGAATCAAAAACTGATATTTTTATGCCCAGAATAATTTGAAGTTTGTTACATAATGCTCAGATTATACTGTTTAGCAGTATTTGTCTTTTACTATTAGACAGGACATTTTGTTAATGCAAATGATTCTGACTTGGGACTAAGCGTTGTATCTTGACAGTGAGCTCAGCAAAGAAAATAGTGACAATTCTTCAGATACTCAATTTTTGAGGTTCAGGTGCACCACATTTCCATGTTTGTTCTGCTGCTACTGCTGCCAGATGTTCTGGAGTAACCGAAGGCAGTAAAATGGCAGAGATGTAAGCAGCACTGAATAGCGTTGCTCTTTCCCACTGCTGTGAGAATAAAAGATGATAACAACTGGAAGGGGCCTACAAGAATCTAGTCCAGCTACCTGACCACTTCAGGGCTAACCAGAGTGTGCTGAGCTTCTCCTCATAGAACATGCCTTCCAGGCCTTTCACTAGCTTTGGTGCCCTCCCCTGGATGCATTCAAGTATCTTAACATCCCTTTTATATTGTGGAGTCCCAGACTGCACTCAGTATTTGAGGTGATGCTGCACCAACGGTGAATGCGGTGGGAGACTGCCTTTTCTTTTGGCTGGCTGGTTATGAGCACACCCCGAAATGCACTTTGCCTTCTGGACTACCAGATGTATGTACTTGTTAATAATTGTTCCAACGTGTAAGTAAATGTGTGAATTGAAGATAATTAACTGGTCTGCACTGGATTACTTTCCTTCAGTATCTTTAGGACTTGAGGCATCTGACATCTGTCTTGCAACAGTTTTTCCTAACTAAAGATTTTTAAAGATTTATTAGGGCATAGATAGATCTTTTCTCTAGAATTTTGGAAGTCTGAAGGATTTGCATCAAGTTAAGATACACAAAATAATTTTTCTATGCATATCTTCCTGGGATTTTCAGGAAAGTGGTCTGGACAAGTATGGGGCTGAAGTCAAATTGAAAAGAGGGAGAAGAAGTGGAAATCAAATATTAAGGAATGTTATTTTGGTATTTTTTGTAAAGATTTTAATCTGAAAACGTCAAAGAAAAAAAAAAAATTGAAGATGCTCTTGTTAAGTTTCATATTAATTGCTGGAGTATGTTTGGGTTTTGAGAGGTGTCTGCTCCTACAGAGAAGCATAGAATGGTTTGGGTTGGAAGGGTCCTTAACTCTCACCCAGTCCCAGCCTTCTGCTGTGACAGTGCTGCCACCCAGCAGCTCGTGCTGCCCAGGGCCTCATCCAGCCTGGCCCTGAGCGCCTCCAGGGAGGGCTGTCCACAAGGGCTGATTAGGAGGTGAGTTTACCCTTTAATACCACAAGTTAGAGTTTTTGAGCAGTGTCACTAAAGGAATGGAAGATTCTGCTTTGTAGCTGGCCTAAGGCTTTATAGCTTACTTAAATAATGGTACTGTAGAGTTAAAGGATTGTCTGGAAGCGCTCAGGTTCAGAAGTCTCGTTGGTGTTTGAAGTGTAGTACTGGTAGTCAGGCTGAATTCTTGGTTTTCCTTATTTTCTGAGGCAAGCAACACACACTTTGAAACAATTCTTTTCCAATTCAGATTCAGTTTATTGAATTCCTGCAGAATGAGGACATACTTGCTGTCTTTCATTGTAGAGAAACTTATGTTTTTCCTTGTAAATGGTAGATCTGCCAGCAGGAAGGAGTGTCTTAGTTTCATTGAAAATATCTTCTAATAGAATATTCTAATCGAATGTATATCTGTCCTACTTTATAAATTCAAGACTGGAAAATGTTGTGTGGAAAATACTTTGTTAAACTATCTGGGTTGGATTTAAGTAGACTAGAGTGCTTTTGTTCTGTATGCCCTGTTAAGGGAAACAAAAGCAATTGGAGTAATCCTACTAAGAGCTGAGCGTTTGAATGTGATGTAGACTGAAGCTGGAGAATGCAAGCTCTTGAAAGTAACTACTGCTTACTTTGTGGGCACAGCTTCATCTTGACAGAGTAGATAATATCTTAATGCCTTAATTGAGTTTTTCAGAACTTGAGATATATTCCTCAGCTCATAAATTCTGTTATCATGCACTTTAATAGGAGCTTAGTAACCTCATTATTTTCCATACATTTGGGCTCTAAAAAGCTGCATGATTAGAGAGTTCTTCTAAAACTTGCAACAAGTGGATCTGTTGAATGAAATTGCTGGCAGAGGTAGCAACACTGCACTCTTCAGTGCAGCTGCTTCTGGGCTCATTTTTCATTCTGGCTTAGCTATGGTCTGCTTCTGTGGGCTGAAGATCTCTTTGCAGCTCAAGCATCAGATGTGCTCCTAACATTGTTCAGTTTGGTCCAAAACTTATCTGGTTCATATTTTGAGATTGCTGTGTAATGAGAGCCAAACTGTGAAAAGTAGGAGTTGTTTGTAGGAAGGCTGTTTTCAAAAGTGCGCTCCATTACGTGCTGAAGTACTGAAGTGAGATTTGCGTGTAGTATTGCTCTGAGTTTTGAAACTGGCTTGAGTGTTGGAAGTAGGTCGCATGCAAGTCCATGAGATGCTGTATTACCTTTGTACCATAGTCTGATTTAATCCCTAGAATGATTTAGTCACTCATGTTGACTGTGAAATAAAACTAGATGATTTTGCAGGTCCCTTCCAAGTCAAATGGAGAATGGGAAGATTGCTTTCTGGGATCTAACCTACTGAAGAATGGCTTTGAAAACAGTGGGCAGAATCATAGAGAATAAGTTTTACTCTGTGGAGTGTTGGAAGTGGAATTGCTAAGGCAGTGATTGAGTTTTCCCAACTGGAATTTCAGAGTTGGAGCAAAACGGAGCAGTAGGTTCAAGAGTTACACGTGTAGGGCTTCAGATTGTTCAGATTTTTATTTCATGGAAATATAGCTCTAGCTGAGTGGAAGTGCTGGAATAGCATGGAAGACAGACCGAAAAATTAGATCAGTTTCAGCGTGTTTTCCCCCTCCTGTACTGTCATACTGTAAAAGTGCCTGAAGTTGTTATTAAAGACTGACATTCACAGAGTGTATCTTAATGTCTTGACCTCTAGATGACAAGAACAGGTTGTGCTTTGGACACAAGGATGGTAGCATGGACTTAGCTAGAATTTACTAGCTACACTGAGTGTTGTTGTTTTTAGTCTTTGGTGATGTTGCATTCTTTGTTGTTGTTTAAATAATTCAGTATACTCGTTTTTGCCAAGATTTGAAGCTTTTCTCTACTTTTGTGGCCCAGCATAGAAAGTGAATGGGATTGTAAGTCAGTCTTTGGGGAATAAGGCTTCAGAACCTTTATTCTCAAAAGAGCCTCGGCTAAGCAGCTCTTTGTCACAACTTTATCAAAGAAAGGTTTTATAAAGGATATCCTTCAGAGGAGTACAGGTGACTCTGGAAACTTTCTCCATTAAGAAAAGCTTCAAGCGTGCCTCTGCTTCAAAGTATACATTTTCCAGGGATATAGGATTGCCTTGAGCAAAAGATAATCTTGCCAGCCCCATTTCAAAGAGGCGCTGTATCAATAGATTCCTTTGAAACTCAGCTGCATTTATCTGCTTAGTAGACTTCCATCTGTGAATCCTGTGATCTATTAAACTCTCCCTCCTCACAAAGTTAAAAATAATAATAATAAAAAATCTGGCAAAAATGACAACCAGGGGAATGGAAACAGTCTGGTACTTGTGATTCTTTTTTTGTTGCTGCTGTTTGAGGAGACCATGGTTCTTAAGCTCCAGAAAAAGGGGCTGGAGAATTTCCCTATTGTGTTCAGCTGGGTGGAACATTGAGTAGGTCTAAGTAAATGGGTACTTGAGTTAGCACCAGAGAAGAGCAACTAGAACTCCTAGGGAAGAAGAGGTAATGAAGGTTTAGTTCTTTTTTGTTTGAGATCCTCTGAAAATCAGCAGGTTAATGGTTGGCTTGTTACTTAATCAATTAGTTGCTTTTGAAAAGTATCTGAGAGCAGTGTGAGTAACCTCTGAAGTCAGATGGTTGTTCTTAAGTGGGAACCAAAAGGAAGCAGACTTGAGCTTTTGAGTGCTCCTCTTTTCCTGCTCTTAATTTTTTCATAACTTTCATTCTCCCCTGACACTGAGCTTTCTAGCACGTGCTTTTTCTTTGTATCTCTGAAGGCCATTGGGCTGTTGGATGCTTGCTGCGTATCTTTGCTTCGTGGGAATAAAAACTGAGTGTGGCCCCTGATTCTTTTTTGAGAAAGTCTTTTCTTTTACTGTTCCAAGTACTCTTTTAGTTGTATTTACTTGCTTCTCCAAACCTAGTGGTCAGAGGATTTATAAAGCTCCACTTTCTTATGGCACAGATGACTTCTCACTCCTCTGTCAGCTACTGGTTATGTAGATGAAATCCAGTTGCTCTTCTTCCTTGTGCATGTTCTGGATGTAGCAGTGCTTTGTCATTCTTCCACATTTAGTGCATCTTCCAGCTGTCTGCTTTTGTCTTGTAACATAATCCTGCTTGATATCACAGCCTCAAAAGGCTGTTTGGCTCATGGTGGCACAGATGAGCGCGTTTGTGGGAGAAACAGAAGTCTTAAACAGAGCTTATCTGTGCAGGAAAGAGAAGCTGAAGAGATTTCAGTTCAATTTAGGATTAGGTGGGGGTATTTTTTCAGTGGGATTTCTTTTTGCAAAACTGATAACTAGTCTAGAATGAAGTGAGAATAGCCTGAAAATGACAGATTTTCCTACCGCTAGGATTGCTCTCTCAATAAGGGCAGATTGGATGTCTGTTTTGGATGGGTTTTATTTATTTTTTTTGCAAGTGTCTAGAATAGACTTGGAGCCACGTGGAAGTGTCAACAACACACTGATTAACCTGCATTTGAGAAACTGCTGGTGTGGTGTCCCTGTACTGGCACTTCTTTGTGCTGGATACACCTCTATTGCTTCAGCAATGTAATTGTGGTGGGGAAAAATTGAGAGTTGTTTCTAGCTGGAGTGGAACTGATTCTCAAAGCAGTGAGAGATTTTTAACCTTACTTGTTGCTGAACTGTAGTCAGCATAAAAATGTAGTTAGTGAGACTTTCTAGTGCAGACTGAAGCTGTAAATGGATTTTGCTCTGACTGTTGAGGGCTTTATAGCTTTAGTCTTGTCTGAATTGAATGATGAACAAGTTACACTAGAAATCAATCTTGCTTTCTTGAGTCAGAAAATAACTTAGTTCAAATTGAGGGTACATGGAACTTGGACTGAAGTGAGTCTTACTTTTCTTATAATCCATTTGAATGACTTGAGCAGAGTCACCCGAAAGGTTTTTTAAAACTTTTTTTCATGAAATCTCCTCCCTTGCTTCTTAATTTTGTACCCAGCTGCCCCTTCCTGCACTGAAGTACCCTTGGAGGAAATGGTGATTGAGGAAGAGTATGAAAAGCAGGAAGCAGACGTGGAGATGAAGAAGGAGCTGTGCCCCTACGCTGCAGTGGGAGAGTGTCGTTATGGAGAAAACTGCGTGTATATCCATGGGGACGTCTGTGATATGTGCGGACTGCAGGTCTTGCACCCAATTGATGCTGCGCAGAGATCCCAGCACATAAAGGTGAGCAGACAGCTGTCTGGTGTTAAATAGCTTGAAGTTATTGCTTCCTAGCTCCCTGAAGTCACTTGTCCTTCATTCCCTTTTATTTGAAGGTGCGTGCAGGGTTGGGCAGTGAATGAAATTCCTGTTGTAAAACGGACTGTTTCCTGTCAGAGCTGTATTCAGAAGCAGCTGCGCTTCCTTATCTGTGCTGGGAGAGCAGTCTGTGTGAAGATACTAAAGCTTTGTTCTTAGCCTAGTAAAACTGGATGGTCTTCCAGACTGCCTGTCTGATGTTTAAAGCAATGTCTGAAGAAAGGAATTTGAACTCTGAATTGCTTGTTTCCCACTGTCTAAGCAAGGCTCTTTGAAGATTTGAAGCTTAATCATTTTCCATTCCTTATGTAATAGAGTGAAACTGAGCTTAAAAACCTGTTTGGATTTCCCCAGGTGACCAGTCGTGCCTGCAGTTGTTTTCTCTTTCCTTTCCAGTCTTGCATTGAAGCTCACGAGAAGGACATGGAGCTTTCATTTGCCGTCCAGCGTAGTAAAGACATGGTGTGCGGGATATGCATGGAGGTGGTGTATGAAAAAGCTAATCCTAGTGAGCGCCGCTTTGGGATCCTCTCCAACTGCAACCACACTTACTGTCTCAAGTGCATCCGCAAGTGGAGGAGTGCTAAACAATTTGAGAGCAAGATTATAAAGTGAGACACTTTCCCATTTTGATTTTGCTTTGTGAGAACTTAGTAACTGGTGACAACTTGCAACAGACTCCCCCTCTACCCCCATCCTGCCCCCCTCCCCCATAAAGAGACTTCATTTAATGCATACTAACTTCAGTTTGGAAGCAAAATAACTGTTAGGAATGATGTTTACACCCTGATCTAGTTAATGCGCATTAAGTTTGCAGAACTCACTTCATGGTAGAAAACGCCTTTCACTTACTTAGTTAGCTTGTTATCTGATGGTTACTGTTTATGTCTTGGACACCCAGCCAGAAATCTGATAACAGATTAACCAGTTCAGAATGTATGCTGCTTAGTTCTTTGCTGCCCTAGTGCATTAATCAGTTGGCAAACCATTTCTCCATTTAAAGGCTGTTCTTTAAAAAAAAAAAAGAAAAAGAAGGAAATCCAGTCAAATATATATAGAAATCAAACAAAAATAAATTTATTTAATTCTAAAGAAAAAGGAGTCTGTGTTAAGTGTTTTTTTAAGGTTTGATACAACCTTAGGGTTCGATACGACCAACTACCATTAACATTAAGTTCTTGAAGTCATTGAGCTTAGATTATCTTTGTATTTAAGACAGAATATAGATTGAAAAGCACATATAGCAAGTATGTTTAAAAAGTCTTTTAAGGTGGATGTGTGCCATGACTTATTACATAGGTGATAGCACCCTGTATTATGGAGTCTTGCAGCACGGTCTGTTCATTCCCCAGGTCCTGCCCAGAGTGTCGGATCACATCTAACTTTGTCATTCCAAGTGAGTACTGGGTGGAGGAGAAGGAAGAGAAGCAGAAACTCATTCAGAAGTACAAGGAGGCAATGAGGTATGAGCACTGCAGCTTCTCAAGCTGTGAGGCTGGAGAAGTAATGCACACCTGGAGAAGAAGGTGCAAAGCCTTTCCCTTTCCAGTCCAACGTGTGATGTACTTCCTTACCTTTCCACCCACAGATGCATGCAGCCACACAGTCACTAAGCTGCTCCTATGTGCTTTGACCTCAGTCTTTCCCTTAGCACTCTGAACAGGGGTGGCCTCGTCGTTAAGTAATACAAGCTTGTGCTGTGGAAGCCATCAGTGCCCCTATGCATGCATCCACACACACCTTGGGTGTGAACGCTACGTAATGCACCACTTTTTCGCACAGGCATTGTACTGACCATCTCCTAATGGTGCTTGAGATCTTTTTGGTCTGTAGGTAAATGCAGTTCTGAAGTCTAGTTGGGTGTGCTGTGAATAAGAGCTGTGATATTTTCCTTTCCAGCAACAAGCCATGCAGGTATTTTGATGAAGGCCGTGGGAGCTGTCCATTTGGAGGGAACTGCTTTTACAAACATGCGTATCCTGATGGCCGTCAAGAGGAGCCACAGAGACCCAAAGTGCGTACAGCAAGTAGATCTAGGGGCAGTGCTGGCTTTTGTCCCTTTGGTGCAGGAAATGCACAAGAGGAACGTGCTGCACTGAGGATAGGGGCACTTTGTATTTTCTAACTTCTGACAGTTCTGTATTGTAGTGAATTTGAAAGAGAGGGCGGTCTAAATTTTGTAAATGATGGGAGCTAAGATGGAAGGAATGAATTTTTCAAACTTTTATACCAACATACTGAGGTAAAATGTTGGGCAGCATGAATAAGAGTGTGACGGTAGGTTCTACTGGGAGTCAGTGTCTCCCTGAAGGAGAAGCACAGAAAGTACACGGGAGCTAACCTTTGTTGCCTTGTGGGAAGGCCCTTTCCTTGCACGTTTGATCACCTGGGTAACTGCTTGTGTTGTGCTTGCAGGCCCAGCGGAGGAATCGGTTCTGGGAGTTCATTGAGGAGCGAGAGAATGGTGACCCATTTGAGACCGATGAGGATGAAGTGGTGACCTTTGAGCTCGGTGAGATGTTGCTCATGCTGTTGGCAGCAGGAGGTGATGATGAGCTAACGGATTCCGAGGACGAGTGGGACTTGTTTCATGATGAGCTGGAAGATTATTACGACCTGGATCTATAGCACCTGACAGTGGAGTGTGGACTGTCGTCTTGGCTTCAGGCAGTAGCTATTACTTACCTGTGGTGTTGTGGCAGTGCCTGTGTTTCTCCTAGGCAGGCCTATCAATTCCAGGTGCTGTTGTAATAACTTTTACCCAGGGTCTGTCTTCTCCTGTCCCCTCCCGCCCCAAGAGTGTTGTTTCTCCTCTGTTTAAACAAATAACAAGAAATCTTTAAAATCTTAGTTTTTGTAAAAATGAATTTAACTGTCAAACAGTTAGCTTAGGTTTGTTGCTTCATCTATGTACCCAACAAGCTCACCCAGTTCCAGGGTTAAAGTGTTTACAGGACTTCCACACTCATTTTGAAGAGCCCAGATACAAAAATGAGCGGTGGCCATGCAGTGGGGATGTAAATTGGCTGATGGCCTCTTTTCTGTCTCTGTATCAATATTTCTGACGTCAGGCCAGATAAAATAATCCTTTTCTGACATCAGCTCCGTTCCAGCCCCCTCATGTACACATCTTCATTTGTGATTTTGGACTCTTGTTTACTTGCACATTACTATTACTACTGTGTAACCAGAACCAGGTGTGAATGTTCCAAGTTTTTACTGTGTCTAGCATGAAAGGATAATGTCTTAGTGAAAGGAGAACTTTCTATGTGTATATACAGATAAACGTAGAGTTGGACCTCGAGGATGGGGAGACTCTGTGTAAGTTAAGTAACAAGGCCACCTTTCATCCCCTCTTGGTGCATGAAGTCTAGCCTCCAATTGGACATGAAACTGGTTTAGTGGTCTCAGCTCAGTCCGTGGCAACGATCTGTCATGTGCAACTCCCTGATACACCAGCTCTCTTTCATGTGTTTCGTTAGGGTGGTCCAGGAGCAGAAGTCCGGTTAGCTGAGTGGGGTCGGAGGAACACGAGAGGCCCCTTTAGCTGCATTGCTCTTTAAGTTTTAGAACTCGATGTGGCCACGTAAGCCGCGAGCTTTGCTAGGAAATCTCTGTGCCTCTCAGCTGGTTCAAGGGCCGTGTGCCTTTCGGCATCTGAGTGGGGCAGGTTGCCTGGTCAAGCTGTTCAGCTTACGTGAGTTAGCGCTTAGGAAGTCGGTCATGCAGTTTCTGGCTGTAATTTGCATTGAGAAATTACATTGCCACCAAAGCTCCCGTACAGGAATTTTAACCTTGCATTACATTATTGCTGTTGTTTTTTTTTTTTTATTGACTTGTGGATGCCCCGTGATCTGTTTTCCTGCTGCTCTTGTCCCCTAGATTGCCTCTCCTTTCACTTTTAATTGGAATGAGAAATTGTTCTGAGGTCTATAATGTAATGTTTTGCAGCTGCCTTTTGTAAGAAGCACTTTTCCCAAATAAAAAAACACAAAAAAATGAAAAAAACAAAAACCCCAAAAAAATCAAGTGAGGTCTGTCTGTTCTTTTACGTTTGAAGCCTCTGTAGTTTTTATTTCAGGAAAGTGGGGGGATGGGGAGAGGGTGTTTGGTTTGTACAAAAGCATTTGTTGCTTAGCTCCTGCAGAATTGTGTCGTGCTAAAAGGAAGTTCTAACTTTCTTATAACTTTTCCAATGAAGATTTTGTGAACACATTCTGAATGGACAGCTGAGATAATTGAGCTGCTGAAGGAACATTTGCAGGTGTTGCTGGGAACAGAAGTGGCTTCCTCAGAAATGATTCCCATGCTATGGTGCTGTTTCTGTTGTCCTCAACAAAAGTCAACTAGAGTGTGTTTTCTATTAAGTTTCCCGTTGTAATGCTGCCTGGACAGCAAGTTTAAGCATTGCTACAGGCTGCTTTCTGGGAATCCACATGCTTATTTAAAACTGTGGGTGTTCAGAAAGAAGCATTCTTCTACAAAAATGCATAAAGATGGAAGTTAACTACTAGAAGCATATTTTGCCTTGCTCAGAAATATGAGAAAAGATGAGCCAAGCAGTCTGAAATCATTGTCAGATCTTCTTTTTCCAGAGGCAAGCAGCAGAGGGAGAAATGCAGATGTAAATGAAATGGAGGTAGGAAGAACCAGGAAAAAATTAGGGCTGTGGAGTAGAACAAGGCTTTCACACAGTGAAAGGTAGGTTGCCAGCTTCTTACTGGAGAGCTGTGTTCAAAGTGTAATGAAGATGGGACCCATGAGGATGGAGAATGGTAATGGACACAAGCATGTGGATCGTTTTCCTTCCCAAAGGGTCAGATGTAGCATGCTCTGCTTTTGGTTTGGGTGCTTTTGCTGCACAGTGCTAGGTGTTGCTGCTTCTAAACCTTGCTTGTGTATGATTTCAGGCAAGTTGGGAATACTTGAATGAGTGATTTAATGAGGAGGTGGCTCTGTCCACTTGTGACTGGTGTAGTCCAGCTCATCGTGGCAAGGTGTTTGGTTGCTCCCTTGCTTTGAAGAGTGCTGCTGGTTCTTGTTCTGCAAGTAGAGGAGCTGTGTGTGTTTACTTTGAGCAGCACTGTGTGTTTCTTCCTGTGTGAATCCAGCTGCTGGTAGGCCTGTTCTGAAGTGTGCTGTTGTGCTATAATTCCCTGTCAGGGGGAATGACTGAAAGGTGTGGGGCCTTTGGAGTGAGTGAAGAATGTTGGTAGGCTGCTGTGGTTTTCTTCTTAAGAACAAATAAATTCATGAGGATGAAGATCCACCTTTAATGTGAAAACAAGGAGAGTAAAGCTCAAAAAGAAAACGTAGTACATAGTAAGTATGTAAGTAAACATAGTAAGTTCCCAAGATACAGAAACTGAATAGACTGAGAGGACAATGAGAGTATTCATGGCAGTGTTGAGATGAAAAAGGTTGATGGAAATTTGTGCAGTCTTTATACAAAATATTGATTTCAAAACCAAAATATTCAGGGGGAGAAAAAGTTGCATGCTGTCATTTGAAGTGCCTTGGCTTCAGTCCCTGTGCAGCAAAATATACTTCTGATTTCATTTGAAATTTTGCATTGTGTGGTAACTGTGAAATAAGTGTTTGCATGTTCTGGTTGGTCTGATGGCAATTGTAAAAGCAAATGGCACTTCTTAACAGCTTCACTGCTGCCTCAGAGCCTCTGCTTCTTTACAGTGCTTTTAAGTGCTGCTCTTTCCTGCTTGCAACAATGTGTATTGTAATCTTGCTGCTGGGAGGCCTGGTTCATTTAAGGGAATGCATACTAACTCTTTCCTGTTACGGAAGGCACGACATGAATTTCTGTTTGGAGCGTGACTTGAGGTACAGAGAGTCTCCTGTTTGGAATGGAACTTGCCTACATGGCATTACTAATGCTGCAGCAGCCTAAAGGGAGGGAATCCACACAGTTCTTGGGATTGAGATAGACTACAGGACTGTGCTGTATGAATCAGATAGCAACAAAGGAGCTACAAAGGCAACTTAAGTCAGCTGTAGAATTAGAGGCATCATTTAACTCTGTACGTGTGCAATTGAGGTAAGCCTTACGTCTGGTGAGCAAATCTAGCCAGACTTGGCAGTGATAACTAACAAGCACTAATGTTTATGGATACAGCTTTTATCAAGAAAATAAGAGTTGCAAGTATATTCAATTTCTGCCCCTCACATGTTGCCATAACTTGTTGCTGTTACCCTTGGATATGCTATTTGTCATTTGCAGCCCAGCTGCTGTCCACACCTCCTTGCCAGCAGCTTAATGTGATCACACAGACAAAGCCCTTGTGGGCAGCTAAGCTGAGGCTGGTTTTCAAACTTCTTGTAAGTGCAGTAAATGACTTTAAAGGACCTAACTGTCTCCAGCTAACAGTGAAACGCTCAAGTGTGCAATTCCCTATTAAAAGTTGATGTAATTCTCAGTGAAAGAGGTTCTCGCTCTGAATAAAGCAACTCGTATATCCTAGCATTGTGTGTTGTGGTTGTGGTCCTTGCGCTTGAGAGAGGCGTTGGAAAATGGCTCCAGGACTTGGTAGAAAGGGTGTAGAGTACTAAAACTCCCTCTTCCTTGAGTTGAATGTTTTGCATATGTAGACTTCATTAGCAGCCTTCCTCCATATATGAGAGCTGGGGAGGAGCAGCTATGGTTGGAACACTTGCCTACTGGGAAAAGGAGGTAGATTTGGTTCTGTCCCAAAGCACCAGCATGCATCTGCTTCCTGAAAGGAGGCTCCAGAACAGAGCTCTGTACCAGATGTGGGCCTGAGATGTGCCTTCTTGGTCTCTTTTCCAACTATACTTAACTGGAATTATTAGGTAAGAACCTCAGCTTTTGCTATTAAGAACCTGTACCTTATGCATGTAGAAAAGTGTGACCACATAAGCAGTGCCACATGCCCTCCACATCACTGGGTTGTAATTATGCTTATTTTTAAGCCAGTCAGCTTCTAAGGGGCTTCAGTGCATGCCCCATTTCAGAATTCTTTCAGTTCTTTGCCCTGCCACGTGGGGAGGCGCTGCCTCTGTTTCATGTGACATGGGTGTGGGTATCAGTGCAAAGAATGCACCGCAGCAAATTCAGACAGCTAAGGTTTGAATACTTCTTCCAGATAGGTAAAAACAAACGAGCATCTCCTCCAGCTGGATGCACAGCTCTTACAACTGTGGGACAGCAGTAATTGGTAGCATAGTATTGTAAACAACATTTATAGAAGAGCTGCCTTTCTACAAGCATGCTAATGATGCCATCAGGAACTACGCTGGATCTGTGTATGATGCTGGAAGAGCACAAATGGTAACAGAAGGTTCTGCAGCAGTTTCTTGGTTAACTTGCATGGGCAGCAGCTGCACTCTTCCATTTGCTGTGATGGAGAAAGGCACTGACGAAGGTTACAAATCTGGTGGTTGCTATCATACACTGTAGAACAACAGAATAAAGCTTGTTAACAGAGTTAATAGTTTTCTTCATGTCAGGTACTAACTACATCATAAATTAATCTATTAATCTACGCTCTGAAAAACCCAGGAACTGCTGCAGCTCACTCTAAGCTCCTTCTGTGAATGAGAAGTGACCCCAGGGGAACCTTTGTGCTTAGAAGGCTTCTGAAAGGCACCAGGCAGAAGCTACCAAAGGAGAGCACACACTCCTTGTTGAGTTGCACAAGGGTGAATGGCAGGGGAGGTATTTGAGACCAGACTCTTGAAAAAAAAAAAAAAGACAGAGGGACCATTACACCCATCAAATGCAAGGGAACAGTGCAGAATAAAGCACAACAGCTCAACTGCAAGCCTGAGCTGTACAGCATTCTGCTCTGTTTACAGGCAGCTGAATTAACCACTGCTGTTGGTGTGCACTAGCAAAGAACCTGGCCAGAGCAAGCCATAATAATGAAATTACACTCAAGACTAAAGCAATGATTGACTCTATTTTGTGCTTTTCAGACAAGCTTTTCCAGAAGGATTTGCAACATCTTTTTCCCCACTTTTCAGGAACTTGTGAAACATCATAGGTAAAGTGCCATCTTGTGAAGTGGCAGCTTGCCAACCCTCCCAGGGCTTCTTTCCATATAACCCAGACTGTATTTTAATCATTACAGAGTACGATTGCTAGTTCATAGCTTAAACGTTAACAGCTTCAGTGATACACTTCAGTACACGTGGACTGTGTCATCTGAAGGCTTCTCCTGTATTATTTCTTCCCCCCTTTCTCCTCCACTGTTCATATCTACTGAAAAAGTTAACAACCCCCCACTTTCAGTTCCTGTGCATAGAATTGAGCCCTCCAGTAGCACTGCTTGCACTTCGGAGGGCCGAGACAAAATCTTCCACTGCATACCAAGATGTTTGATGACATCTCCCAGGCAATAGCACACGTACTTGTATGCTCAACACCCACCCCTTCACTGCTCTGAAGTGAGGGTGCATTATTAAACCATACTCCTTGTTGCTGTTTTACATAGACTTGAATCCCTTTTTTCACATGCCTCTCAAAGTCTCCAGGCACACTCTACCATTGCATTTTCACGCAAACTAACAGTCAGCTTTTGATTAAAATCAGTACATCAAAAGCAAGGCAGGCTTAGCAAAACAAAGTAGTCCTTTCACCCCAGCATTAATGGAAGCTATTGTGGCCTTGGAAGCTTCAGTGCTCCTAATAACTGTGTAACAAGACAGCTCACTACTAGTTACAATTCTTACAATTCAAGAACAAAATGAAAGACAGGAGCTGTCACTCCCAGGAGAAGATTGGGACCCTAACGCACCACATTCTGCCTGCTTTGAAGCACCAAGGATGACTCCAGGTTTGCCTAGTGAGAAAACCATACATTGTGAAATTGCACCCTCTTACAAATGTTGGTATTCAATAGCTCAGCACAGGTGGCTCCGTGCCTCACATCAGGCCCTCCCCTAAATGAAACGTAAGGCAGAAGTGGGTTAGTGCTGTCCGAGTGCATCAGACATCTTAAGGTGAAGAGCTTGTACTGCAACAGACGGCGCATCTCAGAAGAATCAACTCAGTGCAAGCTCTAGTGCAAATTTATCTCCTGACATAGCCAGAAAAGTGTCTTAAAGATATAGTTAAAGGCTTTTTTTTTTTTTTAAACAGTTCTCTTTGGTTAAGGCTGGCAGCTTCCTGAGCTGTCTCAGCTTACAAGTTCACGTTAAGGTAGCAGTTGCTATGCTCAAAGCAACCTGTGCTGCCAACAGCAACAGTGATCTCTGAGGATATTTACACACCAAACTGCAAGGTAGAAACATGAGAGATGGCTCGAGGCCATGTAGCAAACTTTCATCATCTGAATTAAACTGAGATCAAACATAGCCTCAGAAAAATGATGACTTCCAACTTTCTGTTCCTGAAAAGAGCATTCAACAAAGGCACTGGGTCTTCTCTGCACTTGGACTGGCAATCACTGGCCTGGACTCAAGATAGACGCTGTTTGGAGGACTCTCTCCATGAAGCTGCAAGGTATTTCGGGCTATCAGCTCCTTAGCCATCAGCACAAACACCTCTTCAATGTTTTGAGCTTCTTTTGCTGACGTCTCCAACACAGCTAGCAGCCCGTGCTTCTCAGCCAGCGTGCAGGCATCTTCAAACAGGACTTGTCGCTTATCCACTGAGTCCGATTTGTTCCCTTAAAAGGAAGGCAAATAGATAACCTGATAATTTAGTCTCTCACACTTTTGTTTCCTTTAAGTCCAATGCATTACTTCAGTTTTGTTAAATAACAGAATTACAATGGAAACTAATTGCTGGAAAAGCAAGATGTGAGCATGTCAGAGCCACCATCACACTGATCAAAACCATGGCTCATCAAATGAGTTTAAGAAAAGAAGACCCACGAAAAACAGTGGGTATCTACTTATTTGCTCTAGATAGCAGAGCCAAAGGATTCTTTGAAAGCACATAGATGAAAACTATTCAAAACAACAATCATAATCTGATAGAAGTTATAAATATACAAAGGTATTTTATTTATACAAAGGTGTTTCAAATAGTTGCAGTACCAGTCCAGGTACGTGCAGTGCCTGGCTTAAATCTACCTTCTTAGCTCCAAGACAACCCTTCATCATGTGCAGATCTCGACACCACAGTATGTATAACCTAGCTGCCCTTCCCCTGTAAGTCACGTCTAGCTTTTCCAAAAGGGAACAAATATTATCAGTGAAGCACAAGCCCCCAAAGCTGCTTTATTGATGTTTGTTTGCCATCTTAAAACCATTCTGCCCTGGCCCTTTCCTCCTCCAGTGCCAGGTGTTTTCCTCCTTCAGTTCCAGATGTGAAAGGCTGAAAACTTTTAACTGTCCCACTGGAAAGGTGTAGAAAATGGCTACAACTAATTCAATGTTTCCTGCTAAGGTAAGTAAAATAGCACCAGAAGAAACTACCACACCAGCTCTTTGACAAAAGCTTGATTGTTTCTAATTTCAGAGTTTAAGAGAAAAAAAATAAAAGACCCCACCATACACACTAATAGATCTTGTTTTTTGCAGTCATTAAAAGAGTTAGAAAAACCCTATCACCAGGGTTTGTGGGTTGTTGTGGTTCTCCCCTCTCCCTCCCCTCCTCTCTTTCTTCCTTCCTTCCTCCTCCCAACTCATAAGCAGGTCAGAATTTGTTGTTCTCCCTCTAAGGAAACAAACAGGAACAACCACAACACCAGAAGCACACAGTTTGCTAGAGGCACCAGCAGCAGCTTAAATCCCATGCCTGCTGCCTCCAGGGCTCAGTGCTGCCTACCCTCAAAAGCCAGTTTGGGCGGCTGGGGCTGCGCGCATTGCTCTCAGCACTGTGCTGCAGTGGAAAAGGCAGAAGCAGTGGAAAGTAGATAAAGGCTCTATCACTTCAGCACGTCAGGGCTCTCATTTGCAGCTTTTTCCTTGGGGGAGGGAAAGAACAATAACAATCTGAAACCCAAAGGGAAAGAACCATCCTGCTTCCTCTAATCTCCAACCTCAGCAGTTCCTACTCATTCCTTTCCGCGATAGGCGAAGTTTCTTGAATGCTAACGGAATGAAGGAGGAAGAGAAATGCAAGCAGATTCTTAGTGCTTTCAGAACCCCTGTACAGTCTCACCCAGTCAGAGTCACATTACAGAGCAATGGAAGGCATTATCACAAGAACGGGAGGAAAAATGAGAAGGAGGAGTTGTGTTGCTTTGTGCATCCCTCTTCATTTTGAATTATCAAACTGCTGCCTTCCTGCACATCAGGAGCACAGGGTCAGGTTTACTGCCATTCTAACATCAATAGGGTTGTGTTTGCTTGCTAAGCTACTAGCAAGTTCCTTGCATTATTCCAGCAGGAAAGGAATGCGTGAAGAGATTTCAGTGCCTGCAACGGGCCTGGTCATGCCAGGGTCAGGCTGTGACTTTCTTCTTGTTTGAAATTGAACTAATATGTATTTTCATTATTTTAATTAAAACATATTCCCTTTTAATTCATAGGTTCATAGATGCTTTAAGCAGCAGTAGGGAGGTGAGGGGGATTTTACACATCTATTAGAAAAGCTATATGATGTAATATTTAAATTCAGATTCCTACCAATTAACATCATGACCAAGTTTGCAGCACCATACTTTTCAACTTCATGAATCCAGTGAGGAATAGACTCAAATGTGGACCTCCTAGTAAGGTCATAGGCAAGGATGGCTCCATGGGCACTCCTGTAATAGGACTGGGTTATTGTCCGGAAGCGCTCTTGACCAGCTGTGTCCCACACTTGGATCTGCAAGAGAAAGGATTCAAAATGTGAAGACCAGTAGATCCACGCTGGACATGACTCAGGGCAGCCTGGTCTGGTCGTTGGCAACCCTGCACATAGCAGGGGGGGCGAAACTAGATGATCATTGTGGTCCTTTTCAGCCCAGTCCATTCTGTGATTCTATGATGATTCTATGATCGGAAGAGATATTTGTATGCATACAGACAACCTACACAGACTAAAGAGCAATCTGTTAGATTAATGCTGGCATTGTAAATAGACCAACATTCCCACAAGTGGGCTGAGAGATAAGGAGCATGGCAGTTTTCAGAAAGGAAGGGGAAAAGCAGATGAACCTGCTGCAGGGCTAGGCAGAGGGAAGGAGTCTGCTACCTGACCTTCCATGGGATCGTTTGAGTTGGATGGAACTCTTACAGCCCATCTAGTCCAACTCCCCTGCAATGAACAGGGACACCCACAGCTACATCAGGGTGCTCAGAGCCTCATCCAGCCTGACCTTGAGCGTCTCCAGGGATGGGGCACCCACCACCTGTCTGGGTCACCTCCTCCAGTGCCTCGCTATGCTTACCATAAAACTCCGCTTCCTTATGCCCAATCTAGATCTCCCCTCTTTTCGTTTGAAACCATTTCCCCACGTCTTATCGCAGCAGACCCCGCTAAAAACCCCGTCCCTTTCTTTCTTACATCCCCCTTCACCTGGGGTCCCCCCGGAGCCGCGCTCGCTACGCGGTAATGGAGGCACGGCCGCAGTCCCGCCCCGAGGCGCCTCCCAGCCCGCTCCCATCACCCACCTTCACTTTCTTGCCGTCGATATCCATCGAGCGCACGGTGAAGTCCACTCCGATGGTGTTCTGCTGCTTCTCGAAGAACTGCCCCGTCTTGAAGCGGTGCACCACGCACGTCTTCCCCACGTTGGAATCCCCGATCAGGATGATCTTAAAGAGGTAATCGAAGGCATCGTCCGTGCTGGAGCTGGAGAACGGCATCCCGCAGCCCGGGCCTGGAATGAGGGGAGAGCACGGGGTGAGGGAGCGCGCCCCGACCCGGGGCTGCCCGTACCTGCAGGGGCAGCCGCGACCCGGCCAAGAGCCGCCCCACCTGTACGACTCACCTGCCGGCCAGGTAGCGCCGCTTTATACCCCGCCCCGCCGCCCCAGGGCCGGTGGGAAACGTAGTCCCGGCCCTTGTTCTTCCTCTTCCTCCACCCCTCGGCTTGGGGGCGGCGCTGTTCCCTTCCCTTCCCCTCTCTTCCCCTCTCTTTCCCTCCACGCCGGCTGCGAGGCGGGACCCCTGGGAGCCTCCCCGGGGCGGGCGCTGAGCGGACTCTCGGACTACAAGTCCCGCCGTGCCCGTGGGCCGCCACCACCGGAAGAGCCGCCCGAGCCGCCACTTCCTGAGCGCCGCGGCGGTGGGGTACGTGGGGCTGCGGAGCCGCGCCCGGCTTCTGCCCGGTGAATGGCGGCTGGGCGGGGGATGGATTTACGTTGAAGCCTGGGGGCGTTCGGGTTGGGTGTAAGGGAACATTTCTTCTCGGAAAGAACGCTGCTGCAGTGGCACAGGCTGCCCAGGGAGGTGGTGCAGTCACCGTCCTGGAGGTGTTCCAGAGCCGGGTGGATGTGGCGCTGAGGGACGTGGGCAGTGGGCATGGAGGGGATGGGATGGTGGTTGGACTGGGTGATCTCAGGGGTCCTTTGTAATCTTAATGATTCTATGATTCTATACAAAGATGGAGATCAGATCCAGTACTCAGCCCTACAGGCAAACAGATCTGTGTCTGTGTGTGCTGGCATAAGGATAGCAATAAATCTCAATGCAGGGAGGTTGTGCGGGGAAGGAACTTCTCCCTCAGTGTTGCACAAGTGTTGCTGTCCTCTGGAGACCTCTGTTATCTGCTGCAGCATGCAGGAGAGAGAGGAGCAGCAGAGGGCTGCTGGAAAAAAATGGCACTCACTGACATTCATCGGTGCTTGCTGAACACTTGTGCAGACCAAACAGTGGATGTGAGCACAGAGAGGCTGTGGGTGGTGCATTTCAGCAGTGACATGAAGGACAAGTAGCATTCCAGACTGCTATGCACAGCTGTTGCACCACGAATGTCTCCGTCAGCTCATCCACATGAATTGGCGGATTGTGACCAGGGAATGGTGTGCAGAGCTGAATATCAGCTTCAGTGCATTGGAATTGACAGTGACAACGATGGAATATTGCAAAGTTTGCACAAAGTAGGTCCAATGAATGCTGATGTGGGAACAGAAAGAGCAGCACGTGCAAGTTTGTCAGGACCTATTGAACCAATATGAGGCTGAAGGTGACACTTTTCTGGATCACATCATTACTGGTGATGAGATGTGGTGTCACCACTGTGAGCTGGAGTCAAAACAACAGTTCAAGGAGTGATGACGTACAAATTCCTCGTTGAAGGAAAAGTTCAAGACACAGCCCTCAGTGGATAAAGTGATGTGCACTGTCTTATGGGATAGGAAAAGGGTGATTCTTCTGGATTTTCTGGAACCCAGACAGACCATCAACTCTGATAACTACACCACAATGCTGACTAAGGTGAAGGCTTAAGCTTCCAGAGTCAGGCCTGAGAAGAAGACAATCTTTCTCTTGCAGCACAGGGGCCATACCAATTTGAAGTCTGTGGAGCACATTGCCAGTCTTGGCTGGACTGTCCTACCACACTTACTGTGTAGTCCTAATGTAGGCCTTTTGTCTTCCATGCATTCAGACCAGTGGAAGGTGAACTGCATGGGTAACAATTTCCTAGCTGCAAGACCATCATAGCAGCTGTGAAACAGTAGGTCACCTCCACAAGTGCAGGTCTTTATGAGCACAATGTGTAGGCATTTGTTCATCGATGGTGAAATTGCACAGCTAATAATGGTGACTATGCTGAAAAATTGTATTGCTGCTGACAATTTTCTCGATCAAATAGTGTCCTTGTGCTCTTTGTGTCTGTTGTAGTTTCCTTGGAAATAAATAGGAGGCATTACTTTCAGAGCAACTTAGGTATGATGTATGACCACCCCGTAGTCTACCAAATACGTAAATAGTGCACAGTGATCATCGACATGGGAAGAGAATCATAGAACCATAGAATTACAAGGTTGGAAATGACCTGTAAGTCCTCCTATTAGCGCTGCTGCCACAAGCTACTAAACCATCTCCTGTAGCTCCTCATCCAGACGCCTCTTGAACACTGCCAGGGACGGCGACTCCACCACCTCCCTGGGCAGCCATTCCAGTGCCTGACCACTCTCTGTGAGAAAAAGTTCTTCCTTATGTCCAACCTAAACCTCCTCTGGTACAACTTGCGGCCATTGCCCCGTGTCCTGCTCGTTGCCTGGGAGAAGAGGACAAACCCCTCTTCACCACAACCTCCCTTCAGGAAGTTGTAGAGTGCAATGAGGTCTCTTCTGAGCGTCTTCTTCTCCATACTAAATAATCCCAGCTCCCTCAGCTGCTCCTCATAAAACTTGTGAGAGCTGCAGTTGGTAGATCCTGGAGGGACTCCTCTGGTGATGGGCACTGAGGAGTGCAAGAAAGAAGTGGGTTGGAGGGTGAGCACGGGGTGCTTGGAGAATGGGAGTGAAAAAATGCAAGCTGTCAAGGAGTGTACGGCTGCTGAGATGAACAGAAATGTGAACTGAATTGGGAAGGAATAGCAGAGTCATTCCTACTAAATTCTGTCTGTTTGGTAAACAGCACTGTATTTTATACCTGTATTTTAATTCGTATCCGTTCTTCTGTTCTCCCTTCCCACCTATTTCTCTTTAAGCAAGAAGACAAAATGACCTAAGCACCAGCCAAACTTTGCTGCTGAGGCAGGAGCAGGGCCATGGCTGTGCCTGGAAGCTCGCGGAGACAGCCTGCAAACAGAGGCCTGGTGTCCCATTGCACTCACCATCATATTATTGTGTTCCTGCTGACCTTCTTCAGGTAGGCTGAGTGTCTTTCTGCAGAGAGGTGTTTGTTTCACTGAATTTGGGGGAGGTACAGAGCTTGTCTGAAGAAGGAGAGCAAAAGTAGGGAAGTACTCTTAATTTTGGCTCTGAGCCTTGAAAACAAACTCAGAAGTCAATAGTAACAGCCAGTCTGGGAGTCGTGTGATAGCAAAGTGAGGTGTGCTGTGCCCTTGGGGAATCCAGCCACCAGCAGAGCCCTCACCAAAGGTGAGACTGACTGCCAGGAACTCAACCCATGGCAGAAGGGCTGGCCTGGGTGAGTACACAAGGCAGATTCTCCCTCTTTAAAATCAGTATCTGCCCATGATTTTGTGGTTCCTGTTGTTAGCAGTGATCTCTAAAATGTCAGTTCTCTGTTACTCAGAGCATATGTCTGAATTTTGAGTCTTACTCTTTCCCACATGATTTGCAGAGAAGATTTGGCCAACCTATGCTTGTGTTTTTTTCTGGCAGTTATTCCTTGCTCCATGCTTCCAGAAAGACATTCAGTAATGTCAAAGTCAGCATTTCAAGCCAGTGGACTCCATCCTGCCTAAACAGCACAACCTTTGAGGTCCGGCCAAATGAGGTAACTAGCAGGTGCAAAGAAAGATGAGTACCTTCCAGTGTGCTTGGGTTGTGGTGCTGAAGAGGCTCTTTTATTTCTTTCTGTCAGGGTTGCTTCTCTGAATATGTGTGGGAACTTCAGATTTCTGAACTGTAGTTTTCTGGATCACCAGCTGGTGTTGAACTCTTTTCTAATGGTTCCCAGAGAAAAATTTGTTAGGAAGTTGGTGTTCTGATGGAGACTGGGACACCTTCCCTGCTGATATAGCAGAACAGAGAAGGTAAGGGAGGGATAAGGAAAGAACCTGTTTTGAAGCGCCAAAGGCAGCACAAGAGAGCAGTGAGTGGGGTTACAGTGCTTTAACGTCCTGGCTCTGGCTTTCTGGTGCTGGTGACCATACCATGATTTTATTAGATCTGTACTTTTCAGTCTTTACAGATTTGTAAGTCCTCTAGGGGTTTTATAATGAATTTGAACCTAGTGACAGGAGATTTGATTCTCTTCTCTTTCTAAGACGCTTAGTAGCTTGTGGAATTCCAGGAATCTGTTAAAAGTTGAGATATCCTGCTATAAGTAGGTGTTGGTGGCTTCAAGTGGCAAATGTTTTTCAAGGGTTTTATTAGTTTTTTTTGACACGTGAGACTTAAGCAGAAGCTGTGTTGGTTGGCCATATCAAAGTTAAGTCTCTTAAACTAAGCAGATGTGTAATTGGTGCTGCCTGGATAAGATGCTCCTCTGGGGAGACAGAAGCAAAAACTGACCATAGTTGAATTAGTTGCATTTGTAGGCCAGGTTTGGATTGTTTGCTTGTTTTTCTAATGGGGATAAAGTGTGGGGGAAGCATAATAAACTTTACTCATAATTGTCATAATAAACTTTATTCATTCTTCAAGTCATCCTCAAAGCTTGCTTTTTTCCAGTGATGTCTCTAATGTTAGTTTGGGGACAATTGAACCTTTTCCTTTGTTTGATCATACTGAATACAAGTTAACACAAAAATGAAAGAATTAGCAACTGAAGTTCACTGTGCATAGTTTCTATCTAGTCTGTTTCTTTCCTGCCTTCCTTTTGTGTTCTCACTTTTCTGTTTGTGGTCTGTCATGCCTAATTATGATTGCTGCCACAAAGGCTTTAAGGGAATTATTCATGTAAAGAAGACAGATAGCTACAGGAGAGGCACTGCACATAAAACAGAATATGCCTTTATTGTATTATTCATTAAGATACTCATCAGTGTTTGCATGTAAGAAACTGTCTAACAGTTGTGTGCTCGTTAGAAGCAGAGTTTGTTTTCCAGTCATTTGTCTTGATCCAGGTGGAAGTTGCATTTCTCACTTGGTGTGCTATTATGTCATTTAGAAGTGAAACAAAATGATAGTGGGCATTTTCTGCAGTGAAGAATGTGATAATTGTTCTTAATTTGTTAATTAAAGTGTTGGAAGAATAGGAAGTTGCTGGGGACAGATGCTCTTCTGCTTTGGAGTTGGGGTTTGCATCAAAATGAATGTAATGGGTTGTGCTTCTCCATGTTTACCTGTTGCAATTTTCTCTCTGTAGCTATGGAACAGCAACCATCTATTTCCAAATGCAGAAGAAGCAACTCTCTTCTTGGGAACATTGGACACTATTTTTTTGTTTTCCTATGCTGTGGTGAGTAAAACTAACTCAATGGTGCTGAGCTTTGGTTAAATCTGATGCATCTACATTTGGACAGGACCTTCCTGCGCTTGCCTAGCACTAATGCAGTTAAAAAGTTTGGTTCAGGAGCAGTTTTTTTTTCTTTGGTTGTGTTCATTCCATCTATGCCTGTGTCCCTTGTGAACGTGGTTGTTGACAAGTGCAAGAGAAGTAACTGTCACTTCAGCATTTCTTATACCCCTTTCACGAGTGAGTGGGAGGGGGTAGATTGAGCTCTCCAAAAACTCTTGAGATTTTTAAACGTAAGAAATTGAATGAACGACTTAGGAAAGCAGCTCTCTTCAAATACCATAAAGGTGATTGCAGTGAGGGTGGAGTTGGTCTCTTGTCAGTGGTGACAGGTGACAGGATGAGGGGAAATGGCCTCAAGTTGCACCAAGGGAGGTTTAGTTTGGGTATCAGAAAAAACTTCTTTACAGAAAGGGTTGCTAAGCACTGGAATAGGATCCCCAGGGAGGTGGTTGAGTCACCATCTCTGGATGTGTTTCAAAACCATTTGGATGTGGTGCTCAGGGTGCTTTAGGGTGGTATGGATGGATTGCGGTTGGACTTGATGATCTTTAAGGTCTTTTCCAACCTGAGCAATTCTATGATTTTTGGTGGCAGAAGAAGTGGCTAGAACCAACCTGTAAGCTGATACAGAAACATTGGGATCAGCTTGGCCCTTCTACTTCATTTTAATTCTTGCAGATCACAAGTGCTCATTTTGTGGATTTATTTGTTGCTGTGTTTTGTTCTCAGGGTCTCTTTGTGAGTGGCATTGTTGGAGACCGCCTGAATTTACGTTGGGTTTTGTCTTTTGGCATGTGTTCATCTGCTCTGGTGGTAAGTCAGAATGTACTGGTGCGATTTAGAAATACCTCTGTAAGGGGATCTGGATAAGGATCTATTTTAGAAGAAGAGACTATTTCTGTGTGAACCATGCCTTGAGCTGTAGCTGTACCTCAGTGGTCTCAGTGCACTTACTGGATGACTCAGCTCTTCCTGAAATATCTATTTATGGATGCTGTGTCAGAAGGAATTTCCTATGTTTGAGGCACTGTCTAGAGACTTGACAAATAGCTTTTGAACGAGATCAGTGTACTTGGACTTTTGGGGAGCACCTGGTGTTATAACGCTATTCCAAACACACGTGTGTTGGCATCAATTTTTTTGCCTGCGAATGCAATCCTTGCTGCCATCCTTAAAGGGCACGCTAACAGTACTAAGCAGTCATGTGCTTATTTTGTAATTGACAACAGGGCGTACGTCAGAAATGAATGACTGCATAAAACAAAGCCATTCTTTGAGTTCAAGCCATTGCAGATGAGCGGGCATCAGTTTTATCTCTTTGTGGTTTTCTAGCAACTGAAGCAATGTAAACTGTGCAGAGTGCTTTTGATTTACCCGTCGGCTATGAAGCCCTCTGTGGGCCGTTGCATTCTGCAAGCACGTGATCACAGGCAGACATGCATCCAACACAGCGTGTTTATTTTGGCTAGTTTGGATTAGGGCTTGTGGCAATTTGAAACCTGGCTGTAATATTTATGTTAATTTTTGCAAAGATAAAGAGCTACTGGAGGCTTTGTGTTTGCATGGAGAACTGTGGTTTCAGATGTCAGTACAGTAAGAAATCAAGAGGCCGTTGGGTTTTTAGCATTGTTATTGGAAGTATTTGTCTCTTTCTTTGGCTATGACTGAGTTGTTTACAAAAATAAGTCTTGGAAATGCTGAAACGATGCTTTTCTCTCCTGAGCTGTTTGGGCTCCAGAGTTGGTGCTGTGGTGGCTCAGCAGAGGGTGCTGTTAGCTTTGAGCCATTTCTCAAACAATACCATGCCTGCCTCTGGCCTGGGCTCTGCCGGGAACCTTCCCCCTGAATTGCCTTTACTTCTCGCTCTCAGCTTCCAAGAGTAGCCTCGTGGTTTCTTTTCTGTTTTATTATTACCTCTTACTAATTCTACTTATTCTTCCCTAGGTATTCTTCTTTGGCACACTCACAGAGTGGTTGCATTTCTACAACAAGTGGTTCTACTGCTGTCTCTGGGTTGTGAACGGCTTGCTGCAGTCCACTGGTTGGCCCTGTGTGGTTGCTGTCATGGGCAATTGGTTTGGAAAAGCTGGGTAAGCTGAGATTTCTACAGTGACTCACTTCTCTGACCTGCTGAGTAGCTGGCTGAGCTGGAAGTCTCAAACCAAAAGGGCACAACTCTGTTTTGCCAACACAACTCTCTTTTGCCAACATTTCAGTCAGAATTAAAGTTGTGTGGCATGCCCTACTTACTTCTGTTATCTCTTCTGCAGCCATGGAGCAATTTGGTATGAACACGTTTGTGTGTGCTAAAGACACAAGGTCAAACTTGAAAAGTTTTGTAGTGCAAAGTGGCTGAATTCAATTTGTCTTGACACTGGATTACCTGGTTCTGACCACTTATCACTAAAGAGTTCATGTGGAGATAAGTCCTCAGATAAGCTCAGATAAGTCACATCTGAGTGCTGAGTCTGTGACTGGGGCACACTTGTGGCCATAGCTTGTAAGCCAGTTTATCTCTGCTGTAATGCGAGTGTTTCAGGACAGAGCATTTCTTGCTTATTTATTTGGTGCCCCCAAGTTGCTCTATGTTTTTTTTTGCTGTAAGAGACCCTTGATTCTCTTCCGTGCAGGCGAGAGAATGTTGTAACTTTATAAGTAAATTAAAGTTCATTCTAATGTTGTCTGTCTGTCTTGCTCCTCATATCACCTCTCCTGCATCCTCCCCTCCAAATTCTCTTTCATTTCTGCAGGAGAGGTTTTGTGTTTGGCCTCTGGAGTGCCTGTGCATCTGTGGGAAATATCCTTGGGGCATTCCTTGCCTCCTGCGTTCTCAAGTATGGCTACGAGGTAGGTATTGCTGTCTGGCTTCTAGCTAGGCCTGCATGTCTGATTGGGTTATGCAGAGTCAGTTTCTTGTCTTGAAAAATAAAAGGAATATTTTTCTTCTTATCTGAACATTCAGTTTCATCTTCTGTAATTCTATGGTAGGAAGCAGGGGGCAGAACAGAATGTTATTCCTTTCCTAAACCTTCAGACTTGGGAGGAGTGAACCTGAGACTTCTTGGCAGTGTGATTGGTGTTTTTGAAGAGCATTAATGCTGTAGTGTATTCTCTTCTGGTCCAAGTGGCTTAAAATACTCTTTGAATCACGTCCATCACAGGTTCTCACTAGAGTGAGTTCATTGCTGCTAAGTAGTGGTGTAGTTTTGACAGATACAGAGGTACAGCTTCTTCCTGGGAAGAGGCCAGGGGTGCTTTATATTGCTGTAATATGCCAGGCAGGGAACACAGGGAACCAAGGCATGTTGGAGCACACGACGTGCATGGACAAACAGGGCTGAGAAGAGAAACCTTATTGGGTACCAAATAGTAGCCTTTCAATGCTTGTATGGAGATTGGTGAAAATCAGGGTCAGATTCTTTTCTGGGTTGCACAGTAAGAGACCAAAAAACAGTGGCTATAAAGTGAATCAGGGAACGTGTCAGCTGGAATTTGGAAAAACATTTCATTGTGAAATCACTTAAGTACTGGAGGAAGGTCCCTGAGCCTGGGGAGTCTGCTTTTGGAGGGTTTTGAGACCCAATTGAACAGACTCCCCTGAGCAAGCTGGTCTGAATTTGGTATTTGCCACTGCTTCAAGCAGTGCCTACCAGTGTAGCTAGATCTGCAATTGTGTTGTGTGAGCTCCTTCCTCCGTCACCTAGATAGAACCAAATTTGTTCAGAAGATGTGGAGATCACTTGTTTCCAAGTTTTATGGATGTAATGTGAGTTGTTGTGGCTGTATTTGCCCTCTGATAAGGTCAGGATGTAGAGAGATCTTCGTTGATCAAAGAAACCCATGTGACTGAAAGCCTTTTAAAAATGATATCTTTTTTATTTATCAGTATGCCTTCTTGGTGACTGCCTCAGTCCAGTTTGCTGGAGGAGTAATCGTCTTCTGTGGGCTCCTGACTTCACCAAAGGAAGTGGGTAAGTAGCAGAGGGCTGTAGTATTTCAGTTCTTTCATGGGAAGTTGATTTGTAGCTTTCCATGTAGTACTAAAAGTGCTGCTTGTTCTGACAGCACTAGTCCTCAGGATTCTTACAAAATGGTGTTGCACTTTAATATGTAAAATGCTCTTACCAAAATCACACTGAATGTCATTATGCAACATCTGTATAGAGTCTGGAAATTTTTAAAAAACAAGATGTAACAGCCTACCTCTAATCCTTCCATTTAGGATATGCCTAATTCTGAGTTTTTGTTCACTTGGGAAACCAATAGTTTTTTTAAGAAATGGTAAGCAAACTGTTGGTGGGCTACTGTAGGAAAAAGAACTGTGGCAAGCCTTAGCCATATGTTAGGAAGGGAAAGTGCTTTCAGTATGTAGGCTTCCAGTAGCCAGTTAAACAGCTCTCAGGCAGGATACAGTCCTTCTCCAAGAAGATGGTAGACAAGTCAGAGTATAACAGGAAAACAAAAGACTCTTCAGGCTTTGACAGGGACATGGAGGAGGTTTCCCAGATGCCTGTAAGGGCTATAAAGTTGGTAGCACAAAAAGAGTCTGCATAAAAGTGTTCAGCAGCCCTGAAAGCTCAGTGCAGTTCCTAAGCACTCCATTCCAGAGGAGGCATTAACAAGCAGCAGCTGTCAGTGTAGGTGGTGGTACACTCAGCCTCCGTGCACTGTGGAGGTGGTAACCAGGAGCCAGGTGAAAGGATTCCAACCACCAAGTAAGGAGAGAAATGCATGAATTTGGTATATCTTCAAACTAATGGCCAGACACTCAGAGCAGACAAAGTCAACACCAGGATCAGACAGAATACTTCCAAGAGCGCTAGAAGACAAAGGCTAGAACCTGTTGACATTGAAGAACACCATCTAGAAATGTTTCTAAGCCAAAGAGGATGGAGGTATGGGAGGTCAAGGGAACTTCTCAAAGAGAAAACTACTTAAAAGAACAGAGCATAGCTTAAACTGGGGAGAGCGTGAACAGTCTGTGGTCTGTTGTTCCTGTTGCGTATCCCTTGTATAACTTAGGCCTTCCTGAGCTTGGAGCAGATGGAGAAGGCAGTGTTGAGGAAGATGCCAACAGACCTTTAATGGGCGATGATGATGCAGATGACGATGATGGCAATTACTCCATTCAAGCAGCTGATACTGACAGCCAGCCAAAGGCCATCGGCTTTTTCCAGGCTTGTTGTCTTCCAGGTGTAGTACTGGTGAGAACGCGGATTCTTGAGTGGGATCTGGCTTCTTATTTTTTAAATATAAATGTGGCTTTTTGTGTTGTCTGCTCTTGTTGATGTGATCGTTGATTTATAGACTGTGTGTTTCAGTTGCTGACGTTTGATGACTTATCCTGTTAAAATCTTGGGATTGGGGTGATTATCTCTGTGTGCATGCATTGTAATGATGTCCTGATAGGGGGTTGCGTGTTGCTCTTCCCATCGGACTGCTGCTTCATTTAGTGAACACGGTGAGCCAACTAGGGCTGTGGAGATCCTGCCCTTTTTGCTGGTCAATTAGAAGGGAGGCAATGAGTAAGCTACCTTTCTTGCTGAGGTAACTGGTTGAATTCTTACTGCTAGCAGAGCATTACACTAAACTCTGTGATGCTGATATTCGGCTGTGCTTTTTTTAGTTGCTTTGGAACAGAAGGTTGGCCTGAAAAAGCCTTAGTCAATGTGATGGTGATGTAATGAGCCAAAGTAGGTATTTTTAAAAAGATGGCTGGAAACAAGGCATGGTGATGCAATTTCCCCATGTCCTCATCCTGTCCCCTGCATGAGAACTTGTACTTCTGCATCAGCAGTATTGCACAATTCATGAATTTGATCCAGCTGAAAAAATGAAACAGCCATTAAAAATCATGTTAGTTTTCTGTGCAGGTGAACTCTGTACCCTCTGAACACTAGAGTCAGTACAGTGAAGTGGATAGAGTGGCTGACTCAGTAATAAGTGTGAACCATTTGGATTTGATCATGCAGTAGAACTACTGAAAGGGTGATATTGTCAAGTACCCTTATTAAGAGGCTAAGCAGTTGGCTGTTGTGATTAAGGCAACACAAGATCTAGAAGGAGTGAGTGGATGGTTATGAGTGTTTATGTAGCCATGGTTCCATTGGTAAGACCTTGACTGAGGGGTGGCAAAAGAAAATGTAGTCCTCTTGAGTTCCTGCCTAATATGGCTGAATGCCATATAAACTGTGGCTTGATTTTGGTGGTGCTAACAATGGGATGATAGAAAAAGAACCTTTATTTCTTAGCAGTAGTTTTTCATTGACCAGAATATAAGGAAGTACTCTATAACTGATGTTGCTTCTGTGCTTGGGATTTTGAGAGCACATTCTATGTGTTAACCCAGCAGTGCAAACACCTCTGAGTCTGAGTTTTATCTTATGTCAGAGTTCTATGTCAGATCAGTGAGTGAGAAAACAAATGCTGAGAGAACCTCCAGAGATCTGTTAAAATCCTACAAAGATTTCACTTGCTTTTCTGTAATTCCTTTCTTCTGCTGCTGAGCCATGTGCTTGGAAGAGTTTCAGCATAGACAGTTTTGCCTTGGACCTCCAGAAATTCAGTGTCAAATTTGTCAATCTATTTGACAGTTTCTAAGCATGTTGTAATGAATACCTCTGTACAGCGTGCTTCTTCACAGTCACAGACATAACTCTGTCGCATACGTATGTGATAAAAGTTGGTTTGTGTCCTGTTAAAGAGCAGAGCTGGTAATAATGATGTATTGAGAGAATTTCAGAAGAGCTGATTTTGTGTCAGAATAATCTGCCTTTTCACATTTGAGCACATATGTTCTCAAAAGCTGTGATCCGAGCCGGTAATTTTTTCCACCTTCATCCTCATTTACCTCTTCCAATGTGGATCCCTTAAACTGTTGTGTCAGTGTATATCAGGAGGTGTTACAGAAATAGCGTGCCTCATCCTGCTGCGTGCTGGGCCAGTGATCCCAGAGAAAGATCCTGTTCCACATAGGAAAGATCTACAGAATGAGATTTCCTGTTGGCTAAGGAGAAGTTGAGCTCAGCAGCCAAAAGCAAAAGCTTGACTCAGCTGCTGCGTGTGGAGGCTTAGCTTTGGCCAAACCTTTCCTGGAATAAACCTGTCCTGGAATACTTACCTGGTGGTTATGAATGAAACTTTATCTCTCCTGGTGCTGTAGGCAGGAGCCTTCTGAAGAACAAAAAGTAGCACGGAGGAACTACTTCACATAATTTTGCTCAGCAGTATGTGCAGGTGACTAAATGTCAAGCTTGTTTCATGTCATATGGTTAATTCCCTTCTCCATAGAAGGCGAATTAAATATTGAATTTCCCTTTTTTTTTTTTTTCTTCTCTTTTTTTTAAGGCTTGTGTCAGTTCCTCTCAAGATTGCACTGGAAGTATTTTAACCCATTGCATTTAGTGAAAAGAAAATAACCTTTTTGACAGTGATTTTTGAGTTCCCGGGTTCCCTTTGATGTTCAGCATTAAGCTTTCATGATGCTGTCGTCTTATATGAAATGCAGAAGCACTTCCCCTGAAAGCTTCTGCGAGGTGCAGAGCTTTCTGGGAAGAAGCAGAAATGCTTTTTACTTTTCTCAAGTGCTAACTGCTTTCTGGCCCACTCTTTGTTCCAGTATTCTTTGGCCTATGCCTGCCTGAAGCTGGTGAATTACTCATTCTTCTTCTGGCTGCCCTTCTACCTCAGCAACAACTTTGGATGGAAAGAAGCAGAAGCTGACCAGCTTTCCATCTGGTACGATGTGGGAGGAATCATAGGTGAGTGAGCAAGGGAATGGTGACATCTTCTGCATCTGCCCTGCTAGTGTTTGAAAATGAAAGACAGAAAATGCAGCTCAGAGCAGTCACATTCATTGCAATCTAACTGGTGAATATATAAGTAGGCTTCTTATATATGTGTGTGCTTGGCCATTTTATAAAATGCAGAATATATTAGCCTCCCAGATTGTTCACATATGATTTAGAGGATGCTATTGTGTTCTTGGACACTACCCCCAGCAGGTATTTTTCTTTATTTGCTTGGACTTTCTGAAAAGTGCCAGGCACAAAAAAACAGCATCCCAACGGCTTGATGCTTGCTTTCTGACAGGAACCCTTGAGGGAGAGGTGAGGTCTGTGCTGTGAAGTGCTGTATTACACCTTCTGTCCTGTATGGATAAGAACAGATTCAGCACAAAGCTCAATAGAGCAGGCACAGCTCTGTTATCTTCAGTGAGATAAAATGGAATGGTATTTTTTCTGCTGACTGCCAAATGTACCTCTAGCCCTCCAGAATAAAGAATTTACCGTCTGTGATTAGGCTTCCACGCTCCTGTGTTCAATTTCTTGCTTTATTACCTAGTCCAGTTTGCTTTCCTAGAGCATTCATCCTTGTTTGGGTCTTTTCAGTGTCAGTTTTTCTGCCTCTCTGGCCTTTTCTAAGTTAGGCTTTTTCAAACACTGTAGTTCTTACAGCATAGGAGTTCCTATGAAGGCAGAGGTGATGCATAAGGTGATTTGTGTCAGCTAGCAACATTTGTTGCAATTAGCTGCGTCTACCCTAAGTAGGTGAGACAGCAGGGAACGTGAGCCGCCTGGGTGCTTAATACTTGCCTTGTGAAAAAGAACTGCACTTCCAGTTAAGCTAATCAGCCACAATGTTAAGCTTGCTCACGTTCAGAGCTGTGTTTGCCGCTATAGGGGAAGGAAAAGGAAAGCAGGAACGCTGGCCAGTTGCCTGAGGGGGGAGAAAAAAAGTAACAAATTCTTGAGAAAGCAGCATGAGTCGTTTTCCCTGCTCTTTTTGGGCCAGTTAGGTGTACTGTCATCTCTGCGTCTGAGGTGTAAGGGCAGGAGGCATACCCTTCTGGATTGTAGAGAAAATGCACATTAATCAGAAGGCAAGAGACCACTGCACTCAGTGAAACAACTTGGTTTTGTTCAAGCGTTAGCATTCTAAGCCTGATGATGATTTATGGTTTTGCAGGTGGAACTATCCAGGGCTTGATTTCTGACGTGCTACAAAAGAGGGCCCCAGTGCTAGCCATCAGCCTGCTCTTTGCTGTAGGCTCTCTCTTTGGATACAGCCGTGAGTATGGTTTGTTTGCATAATGATGGACGTTCATTTGGTGCTTCTTAGGGAAAAACAGTGTGCACCCTGTTCTAATTATGTTTTCTGCTCTTGAAGCTGCTCCTGAGCCAGGATGGTGCCTTTTGGTGTATTTTACTTCATGTGTGGCACTGCAGAGGAAGAAATCCATTGTCTGATTAATGAGATGGAACAGAATTTTCTGAGTGGTTGGATTTCCCTATGTGGTACTATTCCCTCTCTGGTGTCAGTGAGGTTTCTGGCATTGTTGCTGTATCAAAACCACAACTGGCAGAGCAGGAAATGTAAGGCATGTCTCTGTAGTAAGAGGAAAGAGAATCTGGGGAAGATCTGTGCTGACAAATATATATGTATATACTACAAAAAGGTAGAAACCCTTAGGCTTTACCTCTTACTTTTCTGAAAGTGCTAAAATGCTACAAGAGTTCCTGCCTCCTTTATAGTAGATCCATCTCTTGGTGGCTGGCTATTAGGAAAACTCTGTCAGGAAAATTGATAGAGGCAGATCTCATTTCAGTGAAGCAGCTACGAAGCTCTTCTAAGAGCATTGGGTTTGTACCTTGAGATGTATTCTTCAGTGGCTCCAGAGTGCTTTGACTCACTTTTATGTCATTTCATTCCTTTGTATTTTCCTCTAAAATGAAGTGGCATTGCAGGCCAGCTTTTATAGAGCACTTTGAGGTCTGTGGACAAAAATCACTGCTAGAGCTAGTCATACCTTTCCAGAGGCATGCTGGCTTGCTCAAATGGTCTCAAATTAAAGGCAGTGATGTATAAGTATTGGATAGCAAAGACTGCATTTGGTGGAGTTTTGCCAGAACTTTTGCTACCTCATTACTGTCAAAAGTGAGTTAGAAGCAAATACAGTATTATTGCTGAAGAGGTTTGAAGCTTGTACTAGATAGCAGAGCGAGCAGCCAAAAGTCCAGGTGTCTGGTGCTCGACTCAAAAAGTACAGTTGAGCAAGATATGCAGAAGTCTCAGACTTGCAACACAAAGTTATTGCAGTGATAATTACGTTTCTATCAGCCAAACTGATGGAAATGTGTGTTGCACATAAGAACGATAATGGACTGAGAAAATATCAATAGGGCTGCAACTTGTCTTACATGCGGTAACTTTGTCATGTGGGGGCCCAAAGTTGTGGTAGTGAGTTAGGAGTTCAGATAGTGCCTGGAACTGAGGTTTTGGGGAAAAGAATGTCTGAGAAGCACTGAGGAATTGTGATGGAAAAGCAGCTACATGTACCTAATAATGCTGTTCCTGCAAAGGCATAAATAAATGATGTTTTCAAGTTCATTTGTTTTACTTAAGACTTAACCTTTCTTTCTCCTTCAGGTTCTCCTAATAGCAAACCTATCAATGCTGTGATCATGGCAATTACAGGTATGATCTAAAATGCCACTGTTATGCCAATAGACATTGTTACACATTTATAATGTCTGTATGTATTACACACATATTACATTGTGGAAAAATCAGGCTTAAGTAGTGGTAATGTGCTGTCATCTCTACTAGCTTTGTAGAAAGAATAAAATATGAGGCCCAAATTATGTTAGTTTTGGAATATACCTGTAGAAAAATAGCCTAACAGAGGGAAGTATGGAATATATACTACATGGAAGAGTGGACTGGAATTATAGCAGTCTGCCTTGGCTCAATATGATGGAGCTGGATTTCTACCAAAGTATCTGGCAGTGAACTGCAGTTCAGCTTTGAGGGTGTTTGCCAGGACCCCGAATGCCCTGTGTTCTGTGAAGGGTCACAAGCTTTTTGTGCACCAGATGTATGATGTTGTGTTATGGAATTAAGATCAGCCTGCATGAATAGAGCCCTTCTTTTCAAACACTCCTACTCAGAACTTGCTGTCCCATGGAGATTTTTTTCTTCCATCTTTCCACCAACCCTGGGATGATGAGGCTGTAGCATGGGGGACATACCTGTGCTGTGTGTACTTCATGTTGAGGGTTTGTGTATGCACGCTGTTAATCAGTAGCTTTTTCAGTCTGTTGCATCCCGACTCCTTGCAGTGTGCCACATCTGATTACCTAGCTTGTGCTGTTGAATGAAGATGTGCTTGCTGACAATTTGTGTGTGCTCCACATACTCCAGGTGTGTCAGAACTGTATTCCTCATCTGTGCGGGTCAACTTCTACCTGCAGTTAGTCTGTGATCACTGGTCCTAGAATTAATCTTTCTCCCGAGCTGTGCCTGTTGGAATCTGCGTTTTGAAGATGTTCTGTTGAGAATCCATCCCCTTACCTGGTTTGCACCAAGCCTGTTTTCTTGGCTATTTCAGGATTTTTCATTGGTGGCCCTTCTAACATGATCAGTTCTGCAATTTCTGCTGACCTGGGGCGCCAGGATTTGGTGAGAGGCAGCAGTGAAGCTTTGGCAACGGTCACGGGGATTGTGGATGGAACTGGCAGCATTGGTGCTGCAGTGGGCCAGGTGAGGCTACAAAGGAAAACGAGCAATGGGAATGAGGTGAAGGGTCTGTTGTGGTTACAGATGCTAGCTCACTCCTCTGTGCATGGAGTGTGGGGGTATGTGTGTATGTATGGTATTTGTTTAACAAACAACCATGAGAATGTGTTCTGTGATCCAGTGGCTGAAGTTTAACTAAGAACCAGACTAAGTATTTCTAGCCCTATCGTTATTATAGCAATTTCATAAATCCAGTGAGTCTGAGACATTCATACCCCAAACTGGAAAAAAGCAAGAAAAGGTCAGATTCACAAAGAGAGAGAATAAAATGTTTTGAAGTTTGCTTGGGATTTTTGCTCAAAGGTAATAGCCAAATCTTTGCTTACAGAAAACTTTATCTACAGGACTGAATAAAATTAGAACACGCATTATGAATGTTACCGTGTTTACAAAGCAGTTTCACTTTTGCTCTTATTTGCGAATGTCTCTTACACCCTGTAAATCTGGCACCACTTACTTTTGATAGTCCTTACAGCCTGCTGCCAGGGGCCTGAAGAGCAGACTGCTGCAGGAGAGGAAGCAGACAGAGTGCCCACTGGGGGCATTTTTACTTCTCAAATACAAGCGTTAACTTTGTGGGAGAACACAGTGGTGCTTTGGGATGGGAGGACTTAGCAGGAGGATCGGAGCCAGTTCTATTCCAGGCATTCTGTAGTGCTGGTGAAATACTGATGGTTTAGGCAAGGCGTGCAAGTTTCTTTTCTCTGAAGGGATTTGGATTTGTACTTGTCATTTATTGCCGGATGAATGCAATCGTTCTGTCTCATAGGAAAGATGCCACTTAGCTCCATTAAGCATGGAAAATTACAAGTGCCTGGTGGGTGTATTGAAGTGCACTGCTGCACTCAGTTTTCTTACACATTGTCTTCAGTGTTTCTGTCTTCCCCCACACATACCATTGGAACTTACGTCGTCACAAAAATTGGGCCTTTAGTTCTGAAAAATTCCACCTGCCTCCCATTCTAAAATGGCGTTTATTTCAGCAGAGACAAGCATGATGTCATTCTGGGGGTGTGTGAGTAACAGCAAATGCACAACGAACGTGTTGGAAACTCACATCCTGCTTTGTGCTAATATGTGGTGAAGAGGGGAAGCCCTTGTGCAGCAATTGAGTATAAATCTGCTAATAGGAAATACATTTTCTTTTACACACTGTATAGTCCTGTAGAAGAAGGATGCAGTTCAGAACAGACTGTAGTCTCAAGTGCCTCGCCTCTGATGAAGAGTTAAGTAGTTAGTAGTTGCACGGCTCTTAAAAATGTGTCCTGTCTAATTTATAAGCCATTCTAGAGCTTTTAGCTCTTCTGAGAGTACTTACATCCACTTATGTCCTGGTGTTCTGCGCAAAAACCCTGTATTCAGCGGAGTCAATTTGTCACCCTTGAAGCTGTAGTTCATTTCTGTCTCTGTGCTGCTGTGAGTTACTGTAAAGCTTCAGAATGATGCCTCTGCTTTGCTGAGATGGGATTTTACACAGAAAGGCTGCTGTCCTGAGTCATCTATCTTGACAGGAAGAGATCAGCTGGAAGGTTTTGTGATCAGCTCTTTATGGCGTGTTAACAGCCCACAAATTCTGAAAGAGTAATGTCTGAATGTCATGCTTATCTTCCCAATTTGAATCATTTTCTCCTCTTCTCTTTCAGTATCTAGTGTCTTTGATCCAAGAGAACCTGGGATGGATGTGGGTTTTCTATTTTTTCATTCTTATGGTAAGAAAGCCCCCCTTTTTTATTCAATTTGTAATGGAAAGTTTTTATGAGAACTGAAACACGGTGACCTAGACCTGCAGTCTACTTGTGTAGTAGCTGCAGGCCCTGATGCAGTTATCAGAATGGTCTGTGGTGTGCCTTTGCCTCAGGGTGTGTAAATCAGCTGGGTTCATTCTGGATCCTTTAAAGTCACATTGCTCAACAGGAATGGGGATTTTGGCAGACGAATGAAAATACTTACCTAAAAATACCTGTATGCATTTCCCAAAGTTCATTTGGCCTGTCTGACTTCCAAGGCAGGACACTTTCCTCATTCATCTCCATGCTATGCAATTCCTAATGTTTTCAGAGAGCTGCTCATTTGACAGCCCTTGAAGGTTAGTGAGACAAGCGACGAGGGTCTTGAAACTAAAATTAAAATGCCCTGTCCTGATACAGCACCGGGAGAGGGGACGGTTCAAACCCTGATCTCCTCAGCATTGCCACAGTGTTGAATGCTGTTCGTTTCCTACTGGAAGTGGTAGGGATTGTCTCTGTATCTCTGCTGACAATGGAAATTGATGGGTAACTAGCAGAGAAAGCTGGGAGGAAGGCTGTTGAGGAGGTGAAGGGCTCAGCTTCTTCTTGGAAGGAAAATCATGATAGCTGAAGTCGTAGCAGCCTCCTTGCAAACTCGAGCACTTTGACTTCTGCACATCTTGTTGCAGTAGCTTTTAGCCCGAATCTCTCAGTGGAGCCCTTGAGCACTCTCTGGATTGCAGGATGGCTGTGGCTATTGTTGCTCTGTGCTGACTGTCCTGAATATGCTTCTTTCCACAGACGAGTTCAACCATCCTGTTCATTTCACCATTAATAGTGAGGGAGATCAGACTGCTTCTGCACGAGCGGCGCCTGCGGATGCTGGCTGAGTGACTTCTGCTTTCCTCCAGAAGGACTGTTGCCTGGACCTGATGGCTGGGATACTAATCAGATTCCTGGGAGACTTATTGGTTACATCTTCCAGGTTTGGACTAGTTCAAAATGATTCTGTGAGCTGTGCTTCGCCCGCCTTTGCGAGCTCAGTATCACAGTACCAAATACCTGTCCTGAGACCATCCGCATCATGGAGCTGCTGCTCAGAGCTGGGCAATCCGCAGGGCTGGTGGGTTGTCCCAGCTGGCCAGGCTTCTCCATGCCAGCAGTCGCTTCGGATCTGCTGTTGGGTGCTCTCACTGCTATCCCCTTATTTATTTCTAGATGTCCTGACTACAGGTCAGGCGTTTGAAACTGACATTAGAGAGGCTGTCTCGCAATGAATTTCGATGCTTTGTTGTGCTGGCGAAAGCATACAGTGTATTTCATGGGTAGTTTCAATTTACAATCACTGTAGCTTTTAGAAAGGGCAAAAATATTTGGAATTTGTGCTGTCCATTTGTTTCAAAAATCTTGTTGCTAAATCTCTGCACAAATGGACCTCTGTTGTCCCTGGCTAATAACTGTCTCATATTCCAGCAGATTTGCATGGAGAGGTTAACTCCATATTTTATTTTATTTTTTAGCATTTTTTATTAATAATATTACTACTAATCTCTGGGAAATGAGATTTTGTTTTTTTAATATTTAAGCAGACAAACAGTGTGCAATATTTAGGTAATAATTTACAGTGATCTCTGAGAAAAAGCCTTAACAGATCCTTTGCCTCTGAAGGAACTTCCAACGGCTTTGGGGATCAGCGATGGGACACAAATACTTTCACTACCAGGTTGTGTTTTGTACTTTGATCAATACTGACCAAAATGGGATTGTGCAGTGCCCCTCTGAAGGAAGCGAGTGTCGCTGATTGTGTCCTTATGGGGCAGCTACTTTCACCTCCAACAAGGGATAAATTGGATGAATTTAAGAGACCTGGCTGCTCTCAGACAAGAGCTTCCAGACAGGGACTGAAGCTTCCTCATGGTGCAGTACAAGAAGCAAATGCAGTTGTCTCTCCATGTGGCTGCATAAGGGAGCTTATACTCCAGAGTTCTGAAGTTGAGTTGTATGTGGGAGTTTAGATGAGGTGAGTTCTAAAATCATGTGGCTGCACTTAGGATGGGGGAATTTGAGCATTTCGCAGTACTGCAGCCAGCAGGATGGCTGACTGACACCTCTGACACCTGATGGTGATATTCATGGGATCACTGAATAAGTTCTCAACAAATTGTCTTCTGCTTTTGCCTTGGGATGTTTGTGTGGTAGATAAGTGTTAACCAGCAGAACTTTGATCAAACACTCAGCCTAATTGAATGGTGATGCCACGTGGGAGCCAGGGGCAGGAAAATTCTTGAAACTGGGAAGTGGGAACTGTTTTTAATGGGAAAATTGCCTTTTTAACATGTACAGTGATTTGTTTGTTGTTTTTTTTTTTTAATTTATGAATGTCAATTTTCAGTCATGTGATGATTGTAACGAGCAGAATGTGATTAGTGCCTTATGGTTTTACTGTATGGAACGGTTGCTTGGTGATCGCTGCTCTTGCAGTGACAGCTCCAGGCACAGCTTTCCTCATGCGGAGGCTCGGCTACTTCATTTTTATACTTCTTTTTAAAGTCTTTTTTTTTCCTGGTGGAAGTGATTGTTGCCTTCTTTGCTAATCCTCAAAAGGTGTCGGTGCTTGGGAAAATGATACCATTAATCTGACAGGGGACCTGAAATTCTGTTCTTGTCTATTCTCATTCCCATTCCAATTTTGCCTGTATAATTAGAGCAGGGGACCGAGAATCTATCATCAGGCTCTCACAATTATGCCCTGGGGTTGCTGTTCACGTCCCAAGCTACTCATTAGCTCCTGTACAAATAGAATCAAAACTCCCTGAAACCGAGTTCCAAAATTGATGGTGGCACCATTTGCCCCAGCCGTGCTGTCTGAGACGCTTGGTTTCAAATTCCAGGCTGGATGGGCTCTCTGACCGCTGCCCGGGAGCAAAATAAGCTGCGATGAAAGGTGGGGTGGGAAGGGGACGTCGCCGGGGGCGGGGGGTGGCAGCCCCTGGAACAAATGGTTTCCTGTAAACAGCTCTGTCCCCTTTCCAGAAGTGTCAGAAGTGCTGTGAGCAGGCACAAGCTGCCCTGCAGCTCACATATATGTGCGGTACTTCTCTGGGGCCCTGCCCTTAGCAAGGCCTTCCCTTCTCTTCAGCATTTCGGTTGTAGTTGTCGTCCCGCCTTTGTGTCCTGTTTATTTCTTCAAGGTGCTCAGAAGGAGAAAAGTTTTCAATCTGATAGTGCCCAAACCGATCTCTCACCAATAAACTTGCTTTGACTTGAGCTGGGCCAAGCCGTGTGTGCGCTCTGTGCCACCCCTCTCAGCGCCACGCTCCTTTTCCTTATTACAGGTGAGGATCCCACAGCTGATGTGCACCTGGGTTGTCAGCCTCGCTGCTCCCTCATGGTTCAGCAAAGCCTCATGGCCACATCCCCATGTGCTGCGCTCTGGCACTCTTCCTCCTCAGTCTCGTAAGCAGCTCTGTGAGATCCCCATAGCAGAGATGCTTATAATGATGTGCTTAATGGTTTTGAGTTTAAGTTCCAGCCTCTTTACTCGTGGGTTGTTTATTTATTTTTTTTTCAATTATTTATTGATCAGGATGTAGAAGTCAGGTGTTCTTCCCTTGAAAAGAGCCTTGCCATGTAGCAGCCGGCCCCACTGTGCCTTCCCTTCCGTGGCTTGTTTCTTTACACACAAATCCACACCCACACTTAACTGCTTAAATGGACACAGTGGGGGATTGTGTAATTGTGTGTGTATTTTATAGTTGACTGTAAATTCAGAGTTCAGCACAATACCCAGTTTCTGGGGGAAAGAAAAAAAGCACACATTTGCACACTCTGGTCACTCAACCCCAAGTGGCTCAGGGGGCTCTGAGACTGTTCTTCAAGAAAAGTAACTATTACTATTTTACCCCTATTCTGTCTATTGATAGATTGGCTTAGAGATTTCAAACCTGCTCTGAAAGTACTTTAAGAAGTAGAGTTTTCCTTGAACTTGTATTGCAAACACTTATACCATCAATCCCATCCCCACTACTGTACCTGTGATCTTCAGAGCCTGATGTTGGGTAAGTGGAAACATGGGAATTGCATTAGGAAACGATATCTGGACATCTAGCTGTAGCCTGGAATGTGGCGGACTGTCTGACCAAATTGGTTGTGAAGGAGAAGATATGCTTCAGCCCCCTGATACTTATCAGTAGCAAGGAAGGTGCTTGCAATAGGTATCATTCAAGCAATGCTTCCAAGTCCTGGTTTCCTCAGAAGTGTGGAGCCAAATGGCAGTGAGCCTGCATGGTGGCACTTATCACAGCAGTTATCTCCAGAGGGGGAGGAATAGGACTGCTGCCTTAAGAGCTGAACAGCCTCAGAGAACACACATCTTTGTCCAGACCAAGCCCAGAGCAGCAGCAGCAGCATTCCCTTCTACAGGAAAGTAGGAGAAGCAGGGGTGTGTTCTAAGAGTTCTGTCTTTTTTCCTCTCTGACGTAGAAGAACCTATTTTTAGAGAGCCCCACTTCTCTCACAAGCAGTAGCGATTCAGGTATGTCTCAGACATGCCTCTGGTCAACTATTCTTGTGTACTTCTGCCCTCTATCCAATGGTAGCCAGACTAAGCTAGACCAAGCCTATATGCAATTTCTCCCCTTTTCTATCTAAGCGTCAACTAAAAGTGCCTCTTGGAGCATGAGAGAAGCTTTGTGACCCTTTTGTTAGGCTTAAAATAACTGAAAGATAAAGAAGATTTCTGCCTGTGGTTATGGAAGTCCAGCTAAAGCTGTTTAGGGCCAACCTGCCTTTTTTCTAAATGCTTTTAAATCAGCAGCTGGCAGTTGTTGGACCTGCGGGCTAACTGATGAAGTTTGTGCTTGGGATGCTGGTGTTCCTGCTCAGCTGTCAAGGACAGGGAATCCATCCACCAGTGCCTCTTGTCCCTGCAGACCACAGAAGTAACAATATAATCCAGGGCATGCAAGTGAAATGATGGCAGATCTGGATAAGCTTACCCAGGTCTGCGCTATTTCAATCTTCTTATAATGTAGTAAGCAAAGTGCTGGGGATTTGGGTTGGCTTGATTTCCCCAGCCCCTGGATTCCAGCATGAATGCAGAGAAATCTTACACCTGGAGATCTACATCCTCACTCTTTTCAGCTTGCCAGGTGGGACTACTTTCCAGAAACATCCTCACCTTCTCTGGAGAGCCTGGCTGAGAAAAGCAAAGTTGGGCTAACGAAGGCTGTGCTTTCCTGCAGTGAATGCCAAAGGTGACAAACCAGTTGTCCCTGCTCCTCGGCCAGGTGGGTGGGAGTATCAGAGACACAGGTGGGAGCACTGCCTGCACTCATGGGCTTGTATCAGCACTGTACCCACAGAAGCAATGCCTGTGTCAGTGTGCACCGCTGGAGCATCAGGTGAGTGTGCAGTGTGTGCGGAGCTGATGGCGGCTTCTGCTGGAGATGTCTTTTATCTGCTTTGTTTTGTTTCTGCGCACATCTGCGATGCTGCGGTGGGTTCCTGGTGCTATCGGGCCCCTTCTAAAAGCAGCATCTTGGCTGAGTGTGCTCAGGCAGTGCCAGAGATAGCTTGAAGGGGGTTGGAGTAAGGTGTCAGGTGAATGCAGAGCCACTACACCAGCAGCTGGATGTCGCCCCAGTTCTTTGAGTCTGGTCTTTGCTTCCAGTCAGGAAACCCGGGTCACTTCATACGCCTGGTTGTGTGCTTTGGCTGTGGTCTTGCTGTCAGCTGGATAAGGATATTTGCCAATCTTCTGCAAATCAACCATACTACATCGGTTGTCTTCATTCCTTAGGCAAAGAGGGAGCAGGGATTGTTTTAGGAGTTCTCTCATAATACAAGGACTTGGTTTGCCAGGCTTGCTCTTTCCTTCCTACTTCCACTGCTTCACCCCAGGTTACCTGTTCATCCTCGAATGTCCAGAACCAGATTGCTCTCCCCAGTCTGTTCGCTTTGCTTTGCTTCTGCTTTTGTGGCAGTTTGTCCCAACAACAAGGAAGGGAGCCGGTATTTTCTGTGCTAACAAAGTGAGCATTGTTATGCAGTTGTGGAGTGGGTGGATGTGATTGCCGACAGACATATTCCTTCTGCTAGGGTGTGGATTAAAGCTCAAGGTGACTTTGTTCCTGCATAAATTCACTAACTTCCCCATGGGAACTGAAGGGGCAGGGGCGGGAGAGGAGAAGTATGATAAATGGAAGTGTCAGGAGGAAATGCACTCGCGTAACAAGTACTGCCAAAGCATAAATGTGTGCTCTGTGAGGAGCTTTCAACATGGCTTAAGGTAGCACTCCATGGATTAGACAAACAAACGAAAAATAGCCAATATTTAGCTGGGAACTTGCTCCGCAGGCCACCGTTCCGGTGTAATTGCCTGGGTTAAGTGGATTAGCGATCAGCAGTGTGCCTTGTTTGGGGTTAGGCAGACATCGAGGAACAGCCTTTGCTGCAGGCAGCAGCCTTGTTCTCCATCAGTTGGACGCGTTTGGTGTTTTGAACACTCTGGCAGAGTGCTGAGTTGTCACTGCATTCTCTCTTGGAAGGATCCCATGGAAACAGTTACTTCCAGAGCTGTGACTTGGCCCTATCTGCAGCAAGGTGGGTATCGTTACAGCAAATCAAATCTTGGGACACTTCTCTGCCTTTGTTGCCATGGAATCTGTCTTCTGCAGCTTTGTCTTTGGTGAAAAAAGAGAAGTGTCATTACCTCCTGCCGTACATCCACCAAAATGCACTGCGGTTGAGAGGGCTGTGGTCAGCCATGGAGCGTGTGGAGCAAATTGCTTGCACTGGTAACAAGGCTGGGAGATCTTTTGTTTTGATTTGTCTCAAATCTCATCACATCTCACACACAGAATCATAGAATCATGGAATGGTTTGGGTTGAAAGGGACCTTTAGATCATGTTGTTTCAAACCCCTGCCATAGGCAGGGACAGATCCCTCTAGTCCAGGCTGCTCAAAGCCCCATCCAGCCTGGCCTTGAATGCCTCCAGGGAGGGGGCATCCACAACCTCTCTGGGCAGCCTGTTCCAGTCTCACCACCGTCACAGTAAAGGATTTCTTTCTGATAGCTTGTCTAAATCTGCCCTCTTCCAGTTTAAAGCCATTTCCCCTCATCCTGTTGCCATAAACCCTGATAAAAAGTCCCTCCCCAGCTTTCCTGTAGGTCACCTTCAGGTACTAGAAGGCTGCTATAAGGTCCCTCTGGAGCATTCTTTTCTCCAGGCTGAACACCCCAGCTCTCTCAGCCTGTCCCCATAAGGGACGTGCTTCAGCCCTCCCATCATCTTCATGGCCCTCCTCTGGACCTGCTGTAACAGTCTTCTGCTGGGGAAACATCCCTTGGGTTACTATGACTGTGTTACAAGAGTGGCAATGCAAAGCAGAAAGTGATCAGGCACCCCAGGTGGGATCCCCCACTTAACCTGGGGTATCTGACCAGAGCTATCTCACCTTGCCAGTACAACAGGACTGGCACCTGTCCCACACCTCCTTTACATTGCAGACAGAGGGACAGGCAGAGATGTGGGAGCTGCAGAGCCGGTCCTTCACGACCGGGAGGCGATGGCAGCACCACCACTCCTTTGAAAGGGTGCAAAGGATTCTGGGGAGCAGGATCCTGACCCGGGCACCTGGCACAGTCAGTGCTGTGGTTCTCCTGTACTTCATGACCAAGCCCTTAAGTCTGGTACAGAGAGAATAGAAATGGTATTTACCAAGCGAGCTTCTTTTCTTACGGGAAGCATTTTGATTGCTGGAATTTTTCACCTTGCGAAAGGAGCCAGGTCTCTCACTCTGGAGGTGCACTGAGGTGATGATAACAAGAAATCAGCTTGCTCTGGGGAGATGCCCTCACTTACCGTGTGTGTTGTTTCACTTCCCTTGGCCTTTGCTTGTGACTTTTCATCAGATTGTAACTGATCTCTGCTTTCATTACAATTCTCAAGTAGGTTCCGATACCACAGCAAAAGATTTTTATCTGTGCACAACTCCTACGAGGTAAAGAACTTGTGTCATTTCCACTGTATGAATGAGGAACTGAGTCATAGGGAGCTGAACGACACATCTGAGGTTACCCGAGGAGGCTGAGCGCTGCTGGGAACAGAGTCTGGGTGTTCCTGGCCCAGGCGGAGGGCTCGCCCACTGTGCGGCGGTGTTGTCCTGTGGGGCATCGCTGCGCCCTGCTCTGCCCTTTGATCTCAGCCTGGGCCCTTGGACTCTGAAACGAGTCATAAATGCAATAGTAAACCTCTTTCAAGAG